CTTAGCTTTCATTGATTATTCTGGAAAATGACACATCTAAGACTAAAAACCAGGAATCTAACACAGTAGCTTCACAAGGTCGTGATAAAAATTTGTTTAACACTATTTTGAGGCTAGCTATGGAAAACACTGACCAGTCTTTATTATAAACCTTCCAACCCCCATCCTCAAAAAAAAGTAGAACCAAAAATCTGCACATTGTAGAAATTTCAATTAATAGAGGACCATGTATTTTTCCAAAGTTTAACCCTACATGGATCACTGTTCCACAACGAGTTACTTTTACGGAACATCAATGTAACAATATGGATGAACTTCCTAGATATGAGTTTTTTGTTTTCTCGATTTAAACTTATGTATAAGTCATGTTGCGGATTATCATTTGACATTATCACGGTGTTATAGCATGACGGTTACGACACCTCTGAAAACGAGATTAGACGACTACGATCACTGATTTAAGAAAACAGAAAACTAAGGTTGGTGCAGTATTTTCTTCTACTGTGTATCAATGAAAGGATGAACGATTTTTGTAGACATCGCATTCGGTGATGCATTTAGTAATGTATAGTTTGAACGTATTTTTTGCAAATTGATGCCCGGGGATAACATGAAATAAGCGAAAAACTGTTGAGTTTGAAATTCAAAACTTCACAAAATTTAGTAATTTGTTTGTTTTTGTTGTCAGGGCATGGTCTACATTGCTTAACGACCTCAGGGTATATAGATGTAACCAACATACGATCATAAAAAGCGAATTGAGCATTGGAAACCACCTAATATGTTCTACTTAAGCCATAATATTGTATTTTTAATTTGCGGTTACGCCAAAAATTGATTGACGGTTACGCGAACCTCGTTCAAATATGTATCCCAGATTCATTGATATTAATTTTGTCATATTCATCAGTACTTGATGCTAATTCTTCTTTTGCCTCTTCATTGCTATCTTTTTTACTTAAATTGGTTTCATTAATAAAGCAAGACACAATTTTTTCCTTGCCCTATAGAGGCTCAAACAAGAGCGTCTCTTGCGAGTCCTGAAAACAAATATAAGCAATTCAATATTCCATTTCTTACCCATTATAACAATTACATGGAAAGAGGCTATCAGAACTAGCAACCTTAACTTGAAAGATGTACATGCACGTCACCGTCCGCTGAACATCTAATGTACATCTAATACAATACGTTACCGTCCATAGAATTCATACGTAGTCGTCTAACGACATTGTGTTTGAAACCTTATTATTTACAATATGACCACGTTCCTGTTCTGAATATGTCATTTTATGGCTTAATAGTTTGAGTGGCTCTGAGGCACATATACTGAGAAATCACGAGAATGGACTAAAAAATATGAACTTGGACATCTCAGTCGGTAAGTTTACAGCTTATATTCCGCTTCTAGTAAACCACCTGGCAGATTTGACCCAGTCTTTATAACCATCCATATATATGTCACCGAATGGAACTAGTTAAAAAGGAAATCTTATCTGTGAATCTTGCCTACAGGCGAGAAAGAGGACATGCTGTCTTTCCCATCCACCATTTTTTGTAATCATTACCGCAAAATTTTGCAAATCGCCTTGTCGTAACCGTCCTGCTATAACACCGTGATTATTAGATAATAAATTTTACTACTTGTGAAATGTGAATATTTATTCTGCTATATATGAGTCTTGTCATGATTACAAAATTTGAAACAAGGCATTAACACGTCAAAATGTCACCACATAATTGCTCACAATATAATGAATCTTTTTTGACCTTGAGAAGGTCATTAAAGTTAATTAAATCAGATGTACATCAGATTTAAACACCTGAGAATTTGTAGTAGGGCAGGTATGAAATATTTCAGGCAAAATGCGTGACATATACCATATCCGCGTGAAAAGTCTGAACGAAATGCGTTCATTTTTTTTTCATCGTTCGGTTTTGTGGTGTATCACCGATCATTTTTGAAAGTTTTTCTACAGGAATATTTTTGCTGGACAATAATCAGGTAAATTGCATATTTGCATGACAAACTCTGTCACGCAAAAAAAAACTGTTGTGACTTCAAATTTTCCAGCAAATGCGTGACAAATACGCAAATTGCGGGACAGTTGGACGGCCTGGATGTACCATAAATCTTGCAATATTGGATAAAAAATTGTAAAAAAGTGTAGCTTGTAAAGATCGTAGTTTATTGATTTATTTTTAACTGTGAGTGATTCCGCCCCGTCGATTCCTACTATCAATAATAACTGAAGGTCATACTCTCAAATCAAATCAAAACTTGATTTCATCGCTTTTAATTATATTTATGCGACTTATACACTTGTGTATCTCATACTTAAGTGGGTTTGGGGTAGATATCACTCGGGAATATATATCATATCTGAGGAACGGGCAGGATATATTGTATATGTCCCGCTCCAGGCCAAATGCGGGCAGATATAATATATCCATCCCGCTCCCGGGAATTTTTCAAAAGTTTAAAAAAGTTTAAATATCAAAAGTTTTAATTTTCTAATTTTAAAATTTAATTTTTTTAAGTTTAAATGTTACAATTTCATTGTATTGAACAAAAAGAATATTACGAAAATGTTAAATATAAATATCTGGTCATTTGAAAAAGGTCGAAAAGGTTATATCTACCCTAAACCCACTCAAGTATGAGATACACCAGTTATGCACAGTCGGTTTGGATACATGGAATATCCCTTGGGATATACAATACATCTTCCCTCGGTCCCTTCGGTCCCTCGGGAAGATATATTGTATATCCCTCGGGATATTCCCTGTATCCAAAACCTCCCAGTACATAACCCTTATATATTTGACACAGTTTGATTGAAAACATTACCAGATTACCAGGGAGGTGCAGGACTATAAGTCCTGGAATTGGATAAGACATGACCCTTGTTAGTCCATAGGGAACTATTTTCGACAATTGCCGATAATTCATATTTTCTGGGTCAGTCGTCTTGAATAAGATCTCGCCTGTTGGTGATTTCAATCTTCTTTTAAAATTTTTCAAAAACAAACATGGCGGACTTCGTTAAACGGAAATATAAGCCAATGTCAAAAAAGCCCCATGGTCAGGTCTAGTCTATATCCAAATTTCCAAAAAATTTCAGACTACTACTTTTTTCATATCACCTTTGTTGCATCGATGATGATGCATAAACATAGCATTTGATAGAAATTAGCGTAAATGCTTTTCCGACTTTTTCATTTTTCATCAATGTTGACTTCCGGGAAGGCGTTGTAGTTATCACGAAATAACGCATTGACCTTGAACTTTACTTTGTTGACGTGTCAACCAAGCATGTCTGGTGTGAAAATTAAAAGAATATTAAGCAATGTTCTACATCCGCCAAGCTAAGTGAAGTAGTCAATATTTAAAATTACCAATTTCAAGTGAAGTACGCAACGAACGAAACTGCGTGATCTACACTCCCACTATTGGTCTGAATGAAATGCTACGTAGAAATATGAGCCGTCTGCTGTATTAGTCGATTAATAGAGTAAGACCTGTTGGTGATGCTTTATAATTTAGACCAAAACATTGAAGAACAAACGAACCTGTAAATCATGAAAACAACGAACAAATATTCGGTTTTCACATATGTTCGGTAATTTTTCGTATTGAAACTTCCGGAACTTACAAGGAAATCATTCATTTTCTCGATCCATGATTTACCTCTTGGATGTTGTGGCAAATGCTCCATGGTTGACGGAACAAAGGTGATATGGTTTCATTAAGATTCGGGTTCTAACCTTTAGAAGGTAAGACAGACTCCCAAACGTCAGCTAACTCTTAGCATGTTAGCGACGCAGTCAGGCCTTGAAAAAAGTAGTAGAGGATATAGTCTAGCTGCTAGGTCAGGTCAATATGTAACCGCATACATCGAAGTTCTACGGATCTCATCTCGTTTATAGCATGGGCTCTATCATGGTAGAGCCCATGTTTATAGCTATAGTTAACTAAAATGCTTTGGATATGACCCCTGATGTGGATTAAAATACAATAAAGTTAGGAATTTAATTTGAAATTTGGCCCACCAGTGTCTACAAAAAAGATCGTCCTGATCCTATAGGACTGCACATTCCGCCCCCCAAGAATTGCATACATACCCCCCTCCCCCGAGTTTATTTACGTGTACCCATGGCCGAGTATACCCCACACTCTTCCTCCCAACATAATAAGTTGAACAAATAGAAATAAAAACGTGCCAACTTACTCAGAGTCCGCCATTTTTGTTGTAGATCAGGAGTGAATATATCTGTGCCTGTCAGGAATCAGCATATCATTATTTGTTTCAGAAAACCGCCTCCAAACATTATGATTTTATTTATTATTTGTAAATAAATACTTATTTTTTAACTCTCAAATTTAATAAATAATATTAGCACTGAATTTGACATTAATATTGCGGCATGAGCGCAACTGCTATCGTTGCGGCAATACCGCAACCACTTTATGAGCATTGACTGTCCAAACACCCTCATCGTCAAAATGTAGTTAGACTGGCTGTACTTCACATCTCTGGAATAATGTTATATATGTCCAGACTCGTTATGTGTATCATACGCTGTAGAATACATTTGGTATTATGATAGACTATGCATACCAAGCTGCTAGGGAGTGTGAATAAACTTAAGTTGTTTGAGGTCATTTAATTGAATCTTTTAAACTGTTAACATTATCCGACTATCATGATCATGTAGGCCCTAGGATCTATATCACTTGGCACTACGTTTCTAATGCCGCCTTCTTTAATAATTTTAAAACACACATACTTATAGGTATGTTTGGCATGGAAAAGGTTAAATAAAATGAGTGAAAATGGAAATAGTTTGTGGTCTGGTGGTTAGCCTAGCATTGTATAAGGAGTTTATAATAAGTCTTAAATCGAAGTTATGTAAAACAAGTAATCAAATCAGTATCAATTGGTAAAAGAGAATTTTAATTCCTGTTGACTTTAAAATATGCAAATTTTATTTTGTAGAGAAATGGAAATTAATTTGTGAGGTGCCAATGGAGGATATCATATCGATGTCGCACAAGGAAGTCAATCTGGAGAATATGCAACTAATTTTGAGTACTGCAGTAATACTTGCGAATGAGCTTGGTCAACCGAAAGGCGACTCAATTAAAAAAGTGGCACAAGCAACAGCTGACCAGACTAGTGTGGAGGCTGGAGGGACAGGCTCAAAGACTACTGACTCACAAGATACGAAAGCCTGGTGGATAGTGTGAGTATACTTGAACTAGATTATGGGATTTTTCTGTTATTGAAAGACTTGGGAACTGAAGCTTGATACAAGATACAGATTAAAAGTACTTAAGTTTACATGTGACATCATAAAGAGATGATCCAAGTTGCTGTTGAAACAACATCATGTTCATATTGAATACAGATGTAACTAAATTAATTTCAAAATTGATATTACACATGGCTATTAAATAATACTTTATAAAAATAAAACGTAACCATAAGCATATAGGAGTAACTCAATCTCAAGTCTACCATCAGTGTACACATAAATATGGGACTTTCTAAGGGGTATGTGGAAAGGGTAAATTTGACTTATAGGACTCAGAATATTTTACAAATGAATATGACAAACTTGCTTGCAAGTAACAATTCTGAGCATTCCTCTGACTGAAGTTTTTTGAAGTGGAAAATTACTAGGCTATATAGCAGTGTAGGTATATGGATATGTGAGGATGATTTTATTTGCCAACTAGTGATAAAACTGAATAGAAATATGGAATACAACATAGATTTATTTCATTTAATGTTTTGTATGTTTTGAAATGAATGAAATCAGCAAAGTTGAATGATGAAATTTAAATGTGACATGCAACGACTCCTAGAAAAGTGACTAACGCGACCTGAATAGCTTTTATTAACATTGTATTGTGTACGAAAGCATGTTATTTGTAATAGTATTGGGCATGAGTACATATATCGCAATGCTTCAAAACAATCATTATGTCGAATTTGTGACATAGCATACTATTTGATCATAGCCTTGAAATTAATGGACTTAACTGGCAAAATACTCTTGGAACAAAAATGTACTATTTTAGATTATTCCTGCAATAATAGTGCTACCTTTTTATGGGAGGCATGGCCGCAATGCTTATGCAATATTGAATAGAGTGAATCAGTCGAACTTGGGGCTCAGTGGTAGAGCAAAAATTGTTATTGAATACCTAATTTATTCTTATCAAGCTTTGTTTTGAATAGGATTTGGTTTAGCTTTGACTAATTTCAGTTATTTTGAACTTTCAGGAGATGTCCGAGATGGCAAATCTAAAAAGAAAATTAGAATCCATGGAGAAGGAGAAAGTGGATGACCTAGTAAAGAAGGTACGAAGATTAGCCTTGTCCAAGGATGCGAAAAAAGCTGACCTTTTACTCGCGTTAGAAGAACTAGCAGATGCTGCGAAATCTGTAGATCATAAAGAGAAAGAGACATACACTGAAATAAGTAACATGGCCACTAAATTTTCTGAATCCTTAGATGTTGCCAATTTTGTAATAACAAGTTTTTCATCTTCAGGAGATAAGATTATGAAAAGCCTTTCAAAGTGCCTACAAATAACTCAAAAAAATGCAAAGAGTGAGAAATCATATAATGAGAATAACCAAAACAACCAGCCTTCTTTCATGCCATACATGGTTCCCTTTCAGAATTCGAGAAATCAAGGTTTTGGGTTTCAATTCAATCAAAACCGAGGCTTTAGGGGAGCAACACGATTCTTTGGAAGGGGGAGGGGAAGAGGTTTCCAAGGGAGGTGCCATTTCTGCGAAAGGCCTGGTCACATGTTTAAAGATTGTGCGATTATGAAAGATCTCAAGGATAAATCGATCAAAAATGAATAATGAAAGATGAATTACTTAGTCTAGGAAGTGGTAACACTGGTCTTGGTCCTGGGGTAACTAAACCCTTTATACAGGAAAATTTTCTTTTCTGTTTGGACTACACCGGTGGAACCATCTTCTCCATTACATGCACAGTACTTTTAGAGAATTCCATTCTTATGTCATACAGTATATCACTTTTATAATTGGTTATTGCAGGAAAACCTGATATCTGAGGTTTACAAAATTCCAGACTGGGAGTACAGGGGGAGTTTCAGACCAGACTTGATACAGGTTCATGAGAACACACAAAGTTATGTGCATGTAGACATTGGAGATGGTGGTTCTACTGGTGTAGGTTCTTGTGAAGACAATAGACAACACTTAAAACATATTCATGAAGCTGAACATTGTCAATGTCATATACAGTGTGTACTGAATCCAAATGAATTCCTCTCTGGCAACTTACACAGAGAACCTTTCCTATCGGAATGGGCCACATTACTAGAGGAATCAGAAAATGTAAATATAAACAAGTGGTTAAAAGATGGTGTCAATGTCTCTGAATTCTTCACTCATTTCAAAGGTCAATTTAAAGGCCAGTATTATGACAGTGATTCACCTCCAAAAAGATTTTTCAAGAATGCTGAAAATTGCAAGGATCATGTGGAGTTCATAAGATCTAATCTAGTTGGGAAAATAAAATCTGGAGCTATCAAATTAATTGGGAAACTGGGCGAGTGTCAGTTGCCGAAAGTAGTCATGCCTATTCTTATAGAACCTACAAAGCCTAGAATGTGCCATGACGAACGTTATCTAAATTTGTGGATGAGAAATATGCCTTTTAAACTTGAAACATTGAACTCTGTTCACAGGTTGGTGGAATCAGGCGCCCTTCTTTTTTCAACAGATGAGAAGTCTGGTTACGATCATATATTGTTGTCTGAGGAGTCGTCCACCTACTTTGGTATAGTGTTTGGGGGATGGGTAATGGCGTACAGAACCCTTCCTTTTGGCTGGTCAGTAAGCCCATACATTTATCAATCTGTAGGAATGCTCGCAACGTCATACCTTAGATCAATGGGCTTGGTCACTATTCAATATATCGATGATAGATTGTTGATTGTCAATAGACAGGTCAATGAAAGTAACTCGGATTTCAGAAAACGTAGCCTTGGTCAAGTTCACACATTCATTCATGTCATGTCAAGCCTAGGCTATTACCTGGCCTTACAGAAATGCAATCTAGAAGGCTCAACACTCTTGAGATACTTAGGTTTCATTGTTGACACAAATGATTTGTGTTTTCGCCTACCAGAAGACAAAAAGCTGTCATTTATTGAGATTAGGGAATACCTTCTTTCTAAAGAATGTGTCAGTTTAAAGGTTCTCCAAAGATTTGTAGGAAAATGTATCTCAATGATTCTGGTTGTACCTGGCTCCAAGTTGTATACAAAGGTGGCAAACAGGGCTATTTCTTTGGCAACAAAGAATAGTAGGAATGTTACCATTACACCTGAACTCAGAGATGAAATTTCTTATTGGAAATTCTTAGATAACTGGGATGGAATTGTACCATGGAGGAAAGAATACCACAATCGTTTTGTGTTATGTACAGACTCGTCTCTCTATGCGTACGGTATTGTATTGAAATCTCAGGCAGATGACATTGTCTCTGGAGACTATTGGGAGGTCTCAGAATCAAGTATCCATATCAAAGAGGCTCAAGCTGTTCTTAGTGGTATCTTGGCATACAAGGACACCTTATCAAACTCAAGAACTTACATATTTGTGGATAATAGGGCTGTGGTAGATGCTTGGTCCAATGGTGGTTATAGAGATTCGAAAATGTTAGCAATATTGAAGGAAATGTTTCAAGCTTGCGTTGAGTTCAATATAGATCTGAAGTTGTGGTATATTCCCAGTAAGGAAAATCCAGCAGATATTCCTTCCAGAAGGCTCTCTAATAAAGATGCAAAACTGACAAGAGAATTATGGGATCTCATTGAATCTCGTTTTGGCCCTCATACTGTAGATCTCATGGCTGTTGATTCAAATTCAGTGATTGGCTTTGATGGAAAACCTTTAAGACATTTTACCCCATATCCTTTACCTGGTAGCTCCGGAGTTGACGTTTTCAGTCAGAAGTTGGAAGTTGAGAAAAACCCTTATGTTTTCCCACCATTTTGCCTCATTCTCCACTTGGTGAAATTTTTGAAACAGTCTAAGGTCAAGAGGTGTACAATTATTGTACCAGAGTTTTCGGTTTTACAGCCTTGGTGGCCAACACTGGAGGCTATGTCAAAAACCAAGTTGTTATTAGCAAAGAAAGGAAGCAAATCTGCATTATTGTACCCTTCAAAATGTGGCTATGTCAAGGATCTTTATGGAATCAGGTTTAACTTGTGGGCATTTCGGCTTGATAATTGAAATATTTGTACTTTCAGAATAATATTGATGGAAAAATGGTGTATTGGTGTGACATAGATGAACGGGTCAGAGAAGTTCAGAGAAGGATTTCTTCACAGAACTCTTTTAAGAAAAGTGTTTCAATAGTGAAAAGCTTAAAGTGTTTATTGTACGGTATATATAAATAATTGCGACTCCCGTTGAATAAACTTCATCATAGCATAAGGAAATGAATTAGAATATAAAAATACAAATAATCGTTTGTTGTTCTTAATAAATCACACTTCAGTGAACGTGTTGTTTCGGTTTCGATCAATTGAACTCTATATTCATGAGCCTACGATGACGTCTACATAGGCACATTAGACTACATGAATATAGAGCTGGTTACGTTCACTCCTGTAATTATGAATGAATAGTTGACGATGTTTAGGCCCCCATGTTGAGTTCACTCAGATTACATTTTGAGTAGAGCTTATCACGCTCACTCCTGTAATTGTGAATAAATTGTTCACAATGTTTGGGCCCCCTGATTGTGTTCACTCGGAATACGTTTGAAGTAGGCTAAAACTAATTTGAATTCGAGTCGTGTCTCCTCTATTCACCGTGACAGAGCTGTGATTCGCGAGCGATTATTACAACACCTGAGTGAACACGCCCAATATAATACCTCGCTTACATAAGGTCAGATTCACACTGTATCAGGGCCTTGGCGATGGGAGTATTATGTGGATTTAATTTTTAACACAATACTAATCCCCGGCGCCCTTGTGATGAAACTGAGCTTATTTTGATCACACAACAACTTTATGATCTTGACAGAAATTTGAAAGTTTGCGCAAATTATATATATATATTGATATTATTATTATCATTTTTGTTTAAAACACTTCCTTTTACTCAATTTAGAAATATGCTTGTTTTACAATATTTCGATTGATTGGTGCAATACGGAATGTACAATTAGATTATTCTTGTACATCAGAAATACATTGCACGTAGGCCTACTTCAGATCGCGCGTGCAATCTAGGTTCAAGGCCATTTTCTCTCTTCCCAAGGAGAATAAATATAACAAAATTCAGATGGGCATTTTTATACTTCTTTATTCGTCCATTATAGTGAAGTCTTGGGGTTGTTACGCCTGTGGAGCATCTATATTGATTCAGGGGAGCACGTTTTATATAATTTCGATAGGAAAATAAAATTGATATACAGTGCAATAAACTCTTTAACCTCATTCGCTGAATGTTTGTATGGTGAATGTAACCCATTGAATTCTGTAACACCAGAAGACATAAGAAAGTTTTTAATATGGAAAGATTTATCAGGTAAAACTCAAGTACACAATATTACATGTATCATTTTAGGTAAGCAAGGTGGATGTAACTGTTCTTGTCCAAAACGTCTAGCAGCAGGCACAGTAGAAAATATGATATATCAACTCACGAAAGCCTTTAACGACATGGGAAAAGTAGGTGAATGGGATAATGTCAAAAGTCTGGGGAATCCAGTTAAGTCAAATTTGATCAGACAATATCTAAAATTCATAAAAGAAGAACAAGCTATGAGCCATGTTAAACCAAAATAGGCAAAGCCTCTTTTTAGATCAAAACTTAGGTCAATAGTCCAGTATATTGATAGGGAGCTAGGAAGAAAAGACCTTACATTGAAACAAAAATTTGTTTTATTGAGAGATCAGGCCTTTTTGAAGCTGCAATTTAGCGGGGGTGAAAGAGCAGGTGACTTATCATACCTGAAAGGTCAAGAAATATCTAGACTTGAAGATGGTTCAGGCTTTGTTGTCAATAGAACATTTGGAAAGACATTAAGAGGTGATAAAAGCAATGTTTATGTGCTAAAAAAATGTGAGGATGAGATCATTTGCCCTGTTAAGGGTATAGAGTTTTATATCAGGGAGATGCTGAACTGAATCTGGTATAGTTCTAAATGATAGATTATCTTATAATGCAATGTATGATCGACTTCGCCTATATTTGACTACCCTGGGTATTTTTGAAGGGGAGACTCCCCACAGTCTTAGAGCAGGTTGTGCAATTACCCTGATGCTCTCAGGAGCAGCTAAGTCCTCATCAGATATTATGAATCACATTGGTTGGTTTTCTTATGATAGTGTTCAGCACTACTCTAGATCAGGAATAATGAAGGATTCATGTATAACATCGGAAAAGTTGGCTAAGTCAATGTCATCTAGTGATGATCCAGAGAATATCTATAAAAAACACTCCTGTGAGACTAACAATATTAAACTGTAAGGGACAATAATAAGTAAAAAACAAAACAAAACAAAACAAACTGTAATTTCAATGGTAATACATGTAGTAATAAATGAACTATTTTGGTACCAAAAATGTTTTTTATATTTTATTTGAGTATTGGGAGGGTACTTTGTACTAATTTACATATTATTGGCATAAAGTTGTGATAACAAAATATAAGAACAGAAAAAACCTCTCACCCAATCCTTAAAGTGAAGTAACACTGGATTGTATGATGTTACTTAGGGATAGGTACTATCCTAAGTGACATCTATACATATTCATGTGAACAAGCCAATCAGTATATTGAGGGATTTTGAAATGGGGTGACGAAGGAATGGAATAGTGACGGATTATGGGTCTGGTTATTTAAAATGTTTCCCGCCCCTCCCCTCCCTTTAAAGGTTGGAGATCTATCCAGTTGTACTTCACCTCCAAAATCTCTCACCCAATCCTTAAAGTGAAGTAACACTGGATTGTATGATGTTACTTAGGGATAGGTACCATTTTCAGCATTTGTATAAGTGAAAGCTAATTTCTTATATTTAGCACAAAGTATTTGGTCCAAAGGGATTATGAAATATAGAAATCATGCATTGTCATCTATTTCTTATAACATTTTACAAGTGTCATCATTTTTCTACTAGTGTCATCCTTTTTCTACTAGCGTCATCCTTTTATGGTGTCATCCTTTTGTGGTGTCATCTTTTTCTTCCAACCGATATTATCCCCTCTATTGTCTAAATTATATAAGAATACTAGTATTTCAAATAATGCAATACTTTCACTTCATAGCTTCAAATTCTAATAATACATCAAATTAGCAATCATCTGATTAGGAATCAAACAAGGTTCATTGTGTTCACACACAACTCGAGTAAACTAAACACTCCATAAATCACTCGAATAGACTTAACACACCACTCGTGCAAACTGAACACACTACTTGAGTAAACCTAACACTCCATAACTCACTCGAGTAAATTGAACACACACCACTCGAGTAAACTAAGCACTCCATAAATCACTAAAGTAAACTGAACACACCACTTGAGTAAACTTAACACTCCATAAAACACATGAGTAAATTGAACACACCAATTTTCAATTGTATTAATTACATAAAGATAGGGTTCTTATCAATACATTGGACATTCTATAGAATTCAAATAAAAGTCTCTATTTTGTCCAAAAACATTGAAAATACGCAAAGTGGGCATTTAACACCAGTTGATGAAACAGAACTGTCATTATTGATACTAACTTTGAAAGAAAGGGCAGCATCTCTTTATAATATTAAACTGATTATTGTAAAACATGCTAAGAATGAGCTTATATAGCCTTTACTTTTGATATTTAATAAATCCTTTCAACATGGAGTTTTCCCAGACAAACTTAAAATAGCTAATTAAAACACCGATTTTCAAAAGGAGAAACGGAGAATTTTCAAACTATAATACCAGGCTTTGTAGTTTTATCACAGAAGATGAAATATTATATATATATACATCTTTAACTTTTTTTTAGAAAAATGTCTCTACAAATGTCTTATAGGCTGATGTCGGTCTAGGATTGAGTTTTGAATTTAATTGATATAAATGTAATGCGCCAAAAGAAACTATTAAAATATGCAACGCTTTTGACTTTTAATTGATTTAACTCTCTCAAGGATTAAAAAGTCTAAATGCCCTGGTGAATTATCTTAAATAAAATCAGGCGTGGTACACTTCCATGTCAGTCACGCCATGATTTATATTATCACTTATACTCTCTTCAATCATTCTATAAAGATTCAAAACGACGCATACACTGCCCTTCAGTTGATTGCACTATGACAGATGATGGCATTTTGAAAAATACCATGATTTTAATCAGATAACTTGGCGCATCGGAATGGAACGGTGGATATGTAAGGAGCACCAGAATGGCCTGTTGGGTTATTCATTATAACGATTAAAACCAAGAAATGTTCGATCGCCAAAACATTTAAGCCAAAAAATAAGATTTACTTTGAATTTCACAAAAATTGACGCAATTTTCATAAAAAGCTCCTTTCTTCTTCTTTCTCATGGTGTTGGGTTATACTGGTTATGGGGGGGGGGGGACGGCAGGTCCCATCGCTTTAAATGAAATTTAGTCACTGCTATCATAAATGGCACACAAATAACTTCTCTACGAATTCGACTATTGGATCATTTTCATTTTGAAAATATTCTTAAATATTTTGAATTTTGAATTTAAGTGTATGATATTAAATTCTAAAGAATTAAATTCGTTTCACGACAAGTATAAATAATGTATTATATATTGTATACAGCGATTAAAGGGACCCAACACCATGGTCACATGATCAGTCGTGTGGAGGTAAGCTCCCAGTTGAAATAAAATCACTGTCCTCCTTTGGTTTCTGTGAAAAGTAGCTAATACCCTCATGTATTGGTCAGTTTGTGTGTCACACGACTAATCCCCACCATATGCTTCATTCAACATATTTTATGCTATTGAGCTGCATATATAAACAGTACTTTGCAACTAAGGTCATACAGTATACTTACCCCTTGCAAATTGTAATTTATTGAATTCACAGTAAACCCATCAATTTTTAAGAAAACAAAGAATATTGTTCTCATGGATCTATTATTTATGTTAGACTAACTATGAAAATATAAATATGAAATAATATGTTAGCTTGAAGTCATATATAAGATGAAAATATATGTTCATGTATTTGCATTTTTCCAAAGGGAATATTCCCATGTAAGTAAATACAGGTGCAATATATAATTTATATGTATATCTATGTCATCTGTCTATACATGCGCGTATAGCCTAGTGTTACATGTGAACAAGATGGTTCTGGAAAGAAATGAGCGTGGCAGATTTGCTAAAATGCCACATACACCACAAAAGCAAGACCAATTTGAAAGTAAGTTCATTATTCTCAAGGGTACACTTCAAGTGAAAGCTACATTGCTACAGGGTGGCCTATCATTCTGAGACAAATGTATTATCCAACGATTGTGATTTTCGAAGCTAAAATATGATATCTTGAGCAGATGGAAATACATTCCCATGAGATATGTATATATAGTCAAAAGTGATAACTATTTATTGAGTGTAATGAAATGTATCCTTCGCTAACTGCTTTTGTTTGAGATAATTATCATGAAATGTTTTTAAATCAATTTTTATGTGTGTCATTGGTCCTAATCCACCCTGTAGTCTGGTGTTTGTAGAGCATTGCGACTCGTACAACTTATTCTCACAAATATCAAACCTCATTTACTAATTAATTTTTTGTGTGAATATGAAGAGTCCAAGCATTGGTTTTTTATGTTTATTGTATAGCTATATTTAGCCTTGATATCCATGATTTTTTAAAACAAATTCTCACCGTTAGATTTCGGGCTATTCATGTTTACTCATTTGTCTAATTGGAAAACAATGCAAATCTCATTTTTTCAAAGGAAAAAAATTGAAATTCTAAGACGGTGAAAAATCATTAAAAAATACACAGATTCAGAATCCGGCAAGCATTTTCCCTTATTCCTCTCCGTTAAGAAGTTTTGCAAGGTGTTGGATTCCTTTAAGACCGACGTTATTTTCTAAAGGACCGTGTAAACATTTGGCAGGAGTTAAAAAATTTAACACCGGCATTATCCAGATATACGCCTATATACGTGACTTTTTTTATAATGTTGAGATACGATCCGATAAGATTGTGATTGTGAAGGAAGCTTTTTACATCCATGAGGGGATTCAGCCAACATGATGAAGCTCTTCTTCAGTCGATTGATTTTAATCTTAAACGTGATTATTTTACAATCTCCTTGGAACAGCCTGATAGGTATGCTGTCAGCTGATTATATATGTTACGTAATGTATAGTTTTTAGTATGTTTATTGTCATATATTGGAATTTCATTGGAACGAAGGTGAGGAAGCGTTTGGGAGAAATACATTTTTTCAAATCGAATTTTTTGTTCATAATTTTTCATTTATAACTTCTTGTTTTAAAATGATGATCATCTCATATATTTAAAAATACATTGTCCTGTAAATGAAACCTTGGAGTTAAGTGAACATTGTAAGCGTTGAACTTTATATTATCCAGCATGCATGTATATATTTATAAATGCTATTCCTTGCTTTACTCAACGTATATACGGGTATCTAGTGCCAACCCTGTAAATCTAATGCTAGATAATCACAGTAATAAATGGAAAAACTGCATATACATGTAAGTGAACACATCCCCCAAAATCAAGACCCATCTCTAATTGAAGAACCATATTTTTATCACTTTCAAACTTTAATATTAATCATATACTGTTCACAATTTTTAGGCTTATCTCTTGGATTTCTTAAGTTATCGAGGATTTCGTCAAGGGTCTATTTTTCATTTTCAGTTTTAAATATTTTTTATAAACAGCTTTCCGGATACTATTTATTTAAAATGAAAAGCAGATTTTCACTCATTTTCCTTTGACAAAATTTTTCTAAGATTCATAAAGTTTTTGGTGATTGTTATAAACGTAACTCAGGCATATCCTACTTTGGATGATTTTTCTTTCTCGCAATCAAAATGAAAGTATCGAAACTACTTCTCAGAAATAAGGTGATTCTATAAGTATAGGATATCCTATGATTTTGAGTGACGTCATTTTTGTTTTGTTGTGATCAATATCTGGACGAGTGAGCGTATCAGGAGTTGGTTGCATAGTGTTTCTACATGTACATGCATGGGTTATGATCAGGGGCTTTCACTTAGAAAATGAGGATTTGAGCAAAATGTGTATTTAACATGGGGATATCGACTATTGCTGGACTATTGACTTAACATTTGGATATACGTTCTCTCAGAGTCGAAGTGCCACAAACCAGCCTTATCTATTCTGATAAAACGTATTGGTTAAATATACAAATACCGAATCAGCAATAAATGTGCAAACAAGGCATTTTAAGACATTTTAAATTTTTTTCAAATTCATTTGATACGCACGGGCGTTCTGTGCGTAACAGGCGCTACGCCCATGCTATAAGTACTATTTAACGAATACAGAAGCAAAAATAATTCCATATCAATGGATTGTTAAACATTTTAATACATCTAAGTTCACATCGCTTCAAATTGAATCTATATTTTTTGATCGATTGCTTTAGATCATATTTGACATTGAGACACAAAGTATTTCTGTCTGTCATTTCTGTTTTTGTTTCATCTTCCACATGCATTATATAGTTATCATACTTCATCGTTCCGCGGTACTCTCTGGAACTTAGTCAGATTATGGTTTATATAAACAGGTACAACAATGATCATTGCAACCAATGAAAAGTATTTAAATTAATATACAGTGAGGGAAATTCTAGTATAATAATATTCCAAGCACGGACAAATTATTGATTTGTTCACTTTCTCAGATTTTTTTTTTCTAATTATAACAGCCCAAGCCCAAGATCTAGAAGACATGTATTACGATTATACGACGACATTAGTACCTCCCACTACTACGGTAGATTATGATTATTATGATGAAGATACAACATTCGAAACAACGACAACAACTAATTCATATACAGCAGCAGATATAACCACTCAAGAATACGATGAGATGGAAGACGGGGATACAAACAAAACAGAGATACTAATATCTATTGGTAAGTACCGGCAAAAAAGGTACCAAATTAAACGGGTGTAAGGGTGTACGCTCTAGGGCTCAGTCACATTTGTCGTACGGAGGCCGTGCGTCGACCGCAGATCAATTAAATCAGTGAATTTCTGCGGCAAGCGTAGAAAAACTACGCTCGCCTTGCGGTCTCCGTACGGCGTATCCATTTTTTACAGGCCGAAGGGTAGCCGTAGAAATTATAACTCGGAATTATAATGTTTTGTTAATTTCTGCGGTCCCCGTAGAAATCAACAGGCCGTTGCCAGACCGCAGAAAGGTCCAACGGTGGCCGCATGTCGGGTTTGCTGTTGAATTGCGTTTGATAGGGTTTGATGGGTAATGTACTTTTGGAAACAGTTTTAATGTCAGTTTTCGGTCATATATTTGTTGTTAACACAACACAATACGTATACTGTTTGATGTAAGGTAACTGATACCACAGCAACTTAATTATATTTCTCTTGCACTTTTTTCGACACTATATCCTAACACTACAAACGACATTTATAAATTGTACTGATGTAGATAAAATACAAAGAAGAATTAACGTTAAATCAACAGAAATTAAAAAACTCGCCGTGCGGCTGCCGTAGGAAATGTGACTGCAAAAGTATCCGACCGCAAAAATCCCACGGCGAGCGTAGAAATGTTACTGACCGCAGAAATAATAGGCCGCATGGTCGCCGTAGGAAATGTGACTGGGGTGTTAAGGTATCATTACGAAAAGATATATTGAATGTAATCATCTCGATTAAAATTGAAATAAGTCATTCCATTCTGTTTAGCAACGATCTAGCCAGTTTCAAACAAATTATTGTCCAGGATTTCACTGCCATCTACATGTCCCTGAAGGTGTACGAACTGGAATATCCATTTTCCTATTGGCATCTAATTGGCCTTGAATATTCATGGACTGGAATTTCATAGTTTCTATTGGCATCTACATGTAAATTGTCCGAATGTGTCTAGACTGTAAAAACTCCACGTTTCTATTGGCATGGCCATGAATATGTTTGGGCCGGAGTGTCACAGTTCTATTGGCATTTAAATGACCATGAATATGTATGGGCTAGAATGCCCATGTTTCTATTGACATCTAAATGGCCAGGAATATGTGTGAACCGGAATGTCCTAGTTTCTATTGGCATTTAAATGACCATGAATGTGTGTGAACCAGAAAGTCATTGTTTTTATTGGGATTTAAATTGCCATGAATGTGTATGAACTGGAATGTCCAGGTTTCTTTTCCTTTTTCTGAGCTATCAGGGCAACATTTGGCTTAACATCTTCTTTGACACACTTGTACCTATTTTCTTAAAATGTATGTATGAACTATCAATTTCAGCATTAGAAGAGTAAATTCAGTTCAAAGCTTCTATAAAGGGAGTCCCTCTTATAGATTTTTAAGATCCATTATGTTTCAAGAGGAATATCAGCTGAAATAATGTTCATCCAGGGTTTCTTTGGAGAAAGTTAAAATATACGTTAGTCTTGATGAAATATCCAAAAAATATTTTGACACTAGTCCATGATCATTGAATTCAGTAAATTGCACTAATTGTTGCACCTTTAATGGCCCTGAATCTGTGTGAACTGGAATGTCCAGGTTTCTATTGGCATCTAAATGGCCATGAATGTGTATGAACTGGAATGTCCAGGTTTCTATTGGCATCTAAATGGCCATGAATGTGTATGAACTGGAATGTCAATGTTTCTATTGGCATCTACACGGCCATGAATGTGTATGAACTGGAATGTCAATGTTTCTATTGGCATCTACACGGCCATGAATCTGTGTGAACTGGAATGTCAATGTTTCTATTGGCATCTACACGGCCATGAATCTGTGTGAACTGGAATGTCCAGGTTTCTATTGGCATCTAAATGGCCATGAATGTGTATGAACTGGAATGTCAATGTTTCTATTGGCATCTACACGGCCATGAATGTGTATGAACTGGAATGTTCATGTTTCATCTAAATTGCCCCGAATGCATGGATTCAAATGTTCATGTTTCTATTGGTACCTAAATGGCCCTTAATGTGTACAGTATGTCCAGGTTTCTATTGGCATCTACATGGCCATGATACCCTTTGCATTCGTTTGACTTCACTTCTTAAAAGAGAGCTTCGTCTTGTAGTTTAACTAGACTCTGCACGCAGGGTATGGCCATGAATGTGTACGGACTGGAGTTGAATTTCCTTGTTTCTATTGGCATCTAAATGGCCCTTGATATTTGAACTGAAATGTTTCTATTGCTATCTAAATTGCCTTTGCTTTTGAATTTCTCAAATGGCAGACTTTTACTCATCTTTATCACTTCGTAGGCCCTTTTCAACAATCGAGGTCTATTTTCTAAAGAATAATGAGATTCGAATGAGACGCACTTTTAGGTTCAACACTCAGTACTATGAGTACATATGACCACTATTTGGTCTATCGGATCACAGATCTTAAAGTCCGTGATCGGATTGAGGTAGTTATAATACTGATTAATTAATTAAATGTGATATAAATAATTTTACACAGGGGATAATTTATATCCATGTGGAGAGGAGCAGAATGATATCAGGGTCGAAAATGGCTTGGACAAAGCATCGGATCCAATTCCAGTACCACGTGGCGGGATATTCTTTGCAAACCGCAAATGTAGGAATTTATTTGTAAGTAGTTAAGTGAAAGAAGTTGTGACTCTTCACTCTAGGTTGTGATCGCAATGTAATGTAATGTAGCGGTAAAATCAGCTGGATAGTTTTAGACTTTATTAAAGGCCTCTTGTGTAGAGTTTGAAAATATTGTTATTTATATTCGTCATGACTTTGAATTATCATATACCATTACCATTGTTATATACTCGCCATCATATACTCGTGTTATCAAGAGTGAATGTGTGATAGTTTCCTCAAAGAAAAAACTTGGTTTGTTCTAGGATGAAGAAAAGAAAGGATATGCAACTCCCTATAGGCCCCATATAAAAATTCTCACAAGCCTCTGTTTTAAAAACGAGATCTCGTTGGTAGCGAGATATTACGTGACTACTCAAAATGGCGCAGAAGTGTTTCTGAAAATTGTAAAGTTTATGCTTTAATATTCATTCTTTTCTTCATCCTAGGTTTGTTCTAAAAGACTGATAACTGACTTCAGCCAAACCCAAATATAAAATTTCAATTGTTTTTTCCACGCCTAACCATCGACAAGATACAGTGACAAAATATACCGTTGTACACTTTAGATGTACGGTGTCACTATTAACTGATTTGAGGCAAAAACTATGATGCAGGTGTGATGTAGGTTTTAAAAATTTAATCTTGGGAATACTTTTTATAATATTTCATGTTTAATTTCGTGTGTATTCGCTTTTGAAGACTAGTTTTCTGATTACGTTAAAAGATTTTCGAGCAATGCTCGATTTTTTCGTAGTCAATCTACCCATATAATTGGTCGGTTGGAAAATGTTGTTCTTGCACATTTTCTTTTATCATTTTCCCCCTGTCGCCTAGGAGTGTCGATTATTTTTATGAGAATATGTTTCTCTAAACTACACTAGAAAGTGTCAACTATGGTATTAGAAAGTCAAATGTCTTCCTAAACGAATACACAAAAATCAAACATGAATCAGTTAAATAGTGACACCGTATATCTAAAGTGTACTACGGTATATTTTGTCACTGTTACAGTATCTTGTCGATGGTTAGGCGTGTGTACGTGTCATTCATATCGTCATTCGGTACTATAACACGCCTTACCATCGACAAGGTACAGTGAATATTAATATGTAATATAATATAATATGTAATTTAAAAAAACAGAAATGTGCGTTGTCAACTCGAATGTACGTTGTCCCTGTAATTGAAATTCACGAGATATACGTAATATTAAACAATGTAATGATTTCATTTCGAAATTCATTAAGGTTTTTATGAGTAACAAGTGATCTTTAACGAACATGTTCAAGTATCGTTTTTCCTTTTTCATTTTATGAAAGTATTGTTGTGGTGGTGGTTAATTTGTGTCCATTTGGTGTTCACTTATGTTAAGCAGTGATCTTTTAGTTTAGGAAAAGCCGGTGACCTGCTATCAGCTGCTGCAGAATGTAAACAAAGCCTGCATAGCTGACTACCACTAAAGCGCTAATGTGTAACTTGACCTTTTTAACATTGCTGGCATTTGGTTGCTATTAAGACAGCCACTTGCTTGTGAGATGTAACTAGGATTAGGATTTCCCAATTTTGGGGGTAGTCTTAGTAAAATATGTCTGGGGGGCGTTTGCAGGAAGGGATCAAAACAATTCTTTCAATCCTGCATAGGCAAGACAATTCTCTAAATGAACAATTTTGAATCAAGTTGATCCCTTCCTGCAATTTTGAGAGATTTAATGTTCAAGTTGCCAGAATGTTCAGAGAGAATACATTTATTAACTAACCAGCCCATCATCAAGGTGCTTTAATCTGATAAACTTTCACTCAAATTAAGAGAAACCCTGGAAACATTAGAGGAAGGGGTAGTAATTTCTTAAAGTGTTAATTTCAAGACCCAACTCAGTATTAATTACAAGCTGTAATACTATTTTAAAGATGATCACACATTTTAGATACCAAAGAGTTTCTGTGTAAGCATTAGGCCATATGTTGGGAAATCCTAGCAGTGACGTCACTCACTAGCTGATAAGACCAGCTTGAGTAGCATTAAGTGCACTAACTAAAAGTTCGTTTACAGGCCAGCATAACATAAGTGTGTTAGCTTCCAGCCAAAACTCTCATCCAGTGTCTCGGAATAGAATATGTTAAAGACTAGTGCTGCCACGGAGTCTCCTTCCAGCCTGTTTGATTATTTGGTGTCTGTACCTTACCGTTGATAGATAGATCTACTGATCCAAACTAGCTTATTGGATATGACTTTTTAAATTCCCGTTTATGATATATCTGGAAAGTTTCAATAGTTCAATCAAATTGAAGTAATTCTGTAATTGTTCTGTTTCAATTTTAAATGCATCTGACCCCCATGTCTGTTAGTGTTATGAAAAATACGCGTACGTTGTCTCCATTAGGGTTAACTGTGAATTGAGTAAGTTCAATGGGACAACGTGCATTCGAGTTGACAACATACACTTATGTTTTTTTAAAGTATAGCCAAAATGTTAATACTTATTAAATCTTCAACAGACTTTAATTGTGCTGTTTAAAGAAACATATTCTCATAAAAATCTTTAAACTCTTAGACGACAGGGGAGGAAATGATCAAAGGAAATGTGTAAAAACACAACATTTTCCAACCGACCAATTACAGTATATGGGTAGATTGACTACGAAAAAAATTGAGCACTGTTCGAAAATCTTTTAACGTTATTAAAAAGTTAAATGTCTTCCTAAACGAATACACAAAAAATCAAACATGAAATCCTTAATGCATTCCTTAAATTATTTTTTTAAAACCTACATCAAACCTACATCATTGTCTTTGCTTCAAACCGGTCAAATAGTGACATCGTACATCTAAAGTGTACTACAAATAGTGACATCGTACATCTAAAGTGTACTACGGTATATTTTGGTCTTGGAAAAGGCTTCATAAATTTGCCGATCGCAGCGTTTGATCGAACAGTTTAGCCACCTATGACACATTGTTGGCATAATCAAAGGCTGTAACTTGTAGCAGTTGAGGGTCTGGTAGGGGTGGTGGGGCATAGATATTGGTTGTTATAGCAACCAGTTTAAGCAAGTACATGTATCACCCAAGCCTGAATGTTGTATAATTTGTTTAATAAATACATACGGATAGATGCCATACTCACAGGATTGGGTGCTTTTGACCCAAGCCTTCTTTTCCCATAATCAGACTAATCGCTGTTATCTCGTTGCCATGGTAACATCAATAAAAGATGCAATTAATAGACATTTATAGTTAAATGTTCAAAATTAGAAGGGGTATATAAGTTATGATATATTTTCTTTAGGATTTGAATTATATATTGTTGATATGGTATGTTTGTAGTTCTAAAATAAACATTTAAGAATATTAAGTAATACATATTTGAAACCCTGAGCATAACAAGTTAGGACCTAGCAACAATATTCTTTTTAATTAGATGTGCAATTTTGGCAACTTTAGGGAAATATTCCATATATAAGGTTGCTATAACAACACATATCTCTGGTCAACCACCCCTGTTGGGCCCTCAACCACTAGTATTTCAAGGCATTCTAACGTAGATTAAAATGATATAAAAGCCTACACTACACGCCTTTGTTTTGTAATGTAATAAGATTTAGAGGCAAGCGCACTTTAAATACTTATTAAAATTGAAGAACATGATTCAACTTCTTCTTCACTACCAACGGCATTTAAAATAATATCTCAAAATGTCATTAGTTTTTCTGCAAAAACTAATGCTGTTGCTAGGTGGCTGCTATGTGGTTGCTAGGTAATGACATGTCAATAATCCAGTCCATAGAATTTCATTTCATGTTTGATTTTTCATTAGTTAAAAACAAGTACACCTTTAATATCTGAGGTGAGATCTTGTTATGTATCAAAGTAGGTAATATTTCATGGATAAGGTTACTATAGCAACGCATATCTCTGGTCTACCATCCCTTTGGGGCCCTCAGCTACTAGCATTTAAAGCCATTCTGATATGGATTAAAACGATATAGGTACCTTTACGCTACAGGCTTTTGTTCCACAGTCAAAGAAAATTTCTGCATCGTTCAAAACTATGCCAAGATAGACAAACATACATCTGTCCGCATTATAGTCCATTTTAAATATTTCGATTGGTATTGGAAAAAGTTTTAAAGGCAAGGAAACATAAAGTACCTATCAATTATTGAGAAAATGATAATACCTTTTCTTAACTGTAACTACCAACAGCGATGAAAACAATGCACCAAAACATTCATTTTCTACAAAAAAGAAATAATAGTGTCACTCGGTGGTTGTTACGTGGTTCCTGGGTAATCATTTAAATCCAGTTTATAGCATTCCATTTCATGTATTGTTTATTGTTATATTACTTTAAAACAAGTCTTGTTGTCTTAAAGTGGTAATTTCTGAAAATCTGCATTTGCCTAGCCCGGTTGCCTAGCCAGAGATATATAAAATACTTTTATATGTCTATCCATGGGTGTCTTCTGGTTATGAATTGTTTTGATTCATAGCACATTTTCTTACTAGATCAGCTCAAACGGGCTAATAAGTTGCAATCGACCGTACATCTTCTGGTGGGCTAATAAATTTCCTTTGCGAGAACGCTATGGTAGAGCAATTGTAGCTTCGTTTTGGGGTGACCATGATACTCGTGGAAGCTCAGCGCCTTCTGGTGTTTATTACCACACATACGATATGGTAGATGACGAAAATACCAGCGGCCAAACATTGTTAGAAAGAGTTAGTGCTGATGTATCACAATTTACAAATGGCGTGTTTGAAGCTACTTGGATGATCGTCGTGACATGGATACACGTATACCCCTATCCATATTGGTACTACGATTCAAACTACATAGACTACTATTACAATTACAATGGAGGTTTCGGAAGCGGCAGCTCCCCCAAACAAGTAAGCTTAACAGACTGATCATGATCATGAACAGAGATCGAAAGCATACTTGGGGAACATTTAAAAACATGTCGCAAAATGTCATCACACAAAGTACAGTAATGTTGTTTTAAGTGAATACAGGGTGATCAATAAATAAGTTAAAAGTATATGACATTTCTTCAGATTTTACCCAATCCTCATAAAAATTGCACAGAATAATGTTCAAACATTATTGAATTGATATATTAAGTTACAGATCAAAGTTTAGTGATTTGTGATTTTGTGAAGCGAGACTTAACTTCTGTCTTTGAACCGAGCCTACAGACGGATCTTGTGCATTTCACACTTGGCGGAAAACCAATGTCATTGAATGGTTTAACAGTTAAGTCAATTCAAAAAATAATCAATAGAAACACATATTTGGAACCACTGTATAAAGATGAACATGATCGTGAGTAAAAAAGAACAGACTACTTTAAAATGGCTTATAGCTGCACGAAACAAAATAAAAGTCGACAACTCCAACTTAAGATTTTTCATGGTATTTGTGCCACAAATGCTTATGCCTGGGTCACATATGCCCCGATCCATCGGCCGGCGCCCGGCCGATTGAGTGTTTTGTTCAATATTAATTGTATTCAATTTTGAACAAAATACTCAATCGGCCGGGCGCCGTAGTGAAAATAGGAGCAAATGTGACCAAGGCATTACTTAACGCAGATAGGAATTAAACAGGATGCTAGACACTTTAAAGTACAAGTTTTGGGAATGTAGGCGGGTTCAGATTTTTTGAATTTAGAGAAATTATTTAATGTAAATCTTGATTTTAATGCCCATGATATGGTGTTCGGAAGATCTGTAAATAATGTAAACATTTTGCTAAAAAGGCTATCACTAGCAATCAAATATTATATATATGCAAAACAATTTAATGAGGTAAATCCAAACTTGGACGTGACTCAATTTAAAAATACTGATGCGTCGCAAAAAGGTGGTGCATTTGTTTTTTAAGGGTATCGCGTGAATGTAACTTTGATTCCCCGGATGATAAGATAATATTCTAATTTAAGTTATATATCATTTTAAAGCTGTTTCGATGAAGTTTTTAGATCAACTACACTCCGTTCACAATTCTTGTGCGTTCTTTGTTAAAAAGAGTTTTTTACCAAAACATCTGGCAAATATCCCCTGTTGACACGTTACATTTTGAATTATTTTTCGTCTTTAAACGCTCATACATCAAACAATATGACTATTATACTTATTTTTCGTCTTGATAAAGGTAGATGGAAGGTTTATATCAAAGGATGAATTTTAGTAAGCGTCCCATATTGTGACGTCATAGAGTTTGAAAAATAGAATCTGTTGACAGCGACCTTTTTTGCTCATTTTTTGTTACCTTCAACTTTTCAGGTGTACATTAAACAAAAAATACGAGATCAATTTTTAATAAATCATACATGATTATTTTGTTCTTAAACTCTAGTTTATTAATAAATAGTTGATTTTGTTCGCAAAAGTATGTGTTTTCTGTTGTATGTGGAAAAGTGGAGGACGAAAGGTTTTCAAAATTATTCAAATAGGGCTAATTTACGCCATTCGCCTATTTTCAAGCACAGCAACACGTATATTTATTTCACCTAAAATATCAATCGATTCGTGTTTTATGATACTCCTAACCCATTGTTAATACATATACGATATCAGAGTTATTCGCCTTAAATAATTTGAGATATAGAGGTAAATGTGGAGGACGAAAGGATTTCCATATGTGTACATTTTTCTCAAAAAACGTCACATTCTGTGGTGTTAAAAAGCGAAAATGTGTAACAATACGTGCGCGAACTTTTTACGACGTGTCACTTTGTTTTTATATATTCCAGAACTTTTGGGTATGATTGTTGCGAATGTCTGAATGAATGGAGGTGGTGTGAGAGTGGCTTAAGATTTCATTTTTGCCTTGTTAAATGTATTACTTCATGTTTGATTCAATAAAAAAATAAATAAAAAAAAGTTTTGTGATTGGTTGAAGTTATGGTTGCCATAGCAACAGAAAGCATGAAGACCCGGTGTAAAAGAAATTATGGTCCCCTGGGGATTATGGTCCCCTTTCCTTACGACCCTTACTGGCCCTGACTGTGTATAAATAATAAGGAAAATAATTGTAATTAGGTCACCATATAAATCAATAGAGAGTAGGACCAAAATCTGATAGGACCACCTACCCTTTTACACCGGGGCAACTATTAAAAAACTAAATTTTCAGTCGAAACACTTTTGATAATATATTTCAAATCACAGTTGAAATGGCATATCATATTCTTATTGCATACTTCATAACTGCTACTTAATGTCCTTTGTTTTTAACATAGTTCATGTCTTCTACTCCAGTCTTTTGAACCCATTTTCCCATAGCGTGCAAATTTTCAAGACAACTGACTTCAAGTCATCCCATGAGAAACTCCCTAAACCCCTTCTTCAGCTCACCATGACGGTAAAATCATAAGGGGACAAGTCAGGAGAGTATAGTACCCATGACCTAACAGTGGGAAACCCAGTGCTTCAATGATTTGTACCGTGAGAATAGCATTGTGAGACGGAGCATTATCCCAGTGCAATGTGAAACGTTTTGCAGTTATATATTTATATGTTTTAATTCAGAAATGTACAAGGTATATTCTGACCAATTTTCAGGATGTTTGGACCAATATTTATAAAATGCCAGATACTTTTACCTTATTTATTGATCACCCTGTAAATGCATATTATTCATTGTGTGTAAATTGTTCATACTAATCTGACCATTGCATGGACCATTGCTTCTGAAGTTATCAATCGTTTATCAAGTTATTGTTTTTTATTAAAATTCGGTGTTTAGAGTTATCTAGAGGGCAACATTCTCCCAAAATCTAGAACCTTGATAGACCTTGATACCATCGACTCAGATTAGTGTTTGTGAAAAGGAAACATCTATAGAAGGACCTCTATCATGATGGCTCGCCCAAGACCTGTACATTTATGTTGTAGACTATTACACACCAGACTGTGTTGGTAACTTATGGAATGAAAACGTATACCTTATTTAACTACGGTGATATGAACTGGAAACCGTGGAAAAATGCTAACATGGGTTATGATGCTGGCGATGGTGTTAATTTCTTTAACCATTATCTCGCTCGACAATCTGACATCTTAAATATTGGTAGATTGAAAGGAAATACTGGTAGGTGTGAGCATTGATTCTGAGATGTAAAATATTAAAAATACCAATATAAATACCAATACCGTGCAAATAGAAAAATTTACAAAGGTTATTTATAAAGTTTTATTTATTTCCTAATATCTAAATTTGCGATTTCTGCCCCTACTATTATTCGATCGATCATTTCTGATTGTTTTCTGACATAGTAAAGAATAAATACTATTCTACGGTATTTAAAGCTAATTATTAAATTAAAATCATCATAGTCACATTGATTAGCCAGAGTCGAACTATCTTGATTTAGTTTAATTAACTTATGATTACAATTGCATTCTGATTGGCAAGAAAATGTTTACGAATGCCTAGCTATCAGAATGAACTATTATGTCTTTCTAGGTTTGAATGGAAAATGGATATTCCGTCTTGATACGAACGGAGATAACAAACCTAATTTCGACCAAAAATGTGTAGTCTGGGCTGCGAAGGACAAACGCACTTTTCCATTGGACACGCCAGTTAATGCAACAAATTTAGAACCATGTCCATGTAGTTTTCGAGCCGCAGCATGGGATAGAAGATTCCGAATAGATTGGTATTTTGCATGTGCCTACCAGAGGTTTGCTACTGTAGATGGTTTTGGTCAGGTAGGTGTCAAAAAACAACGGCACCCCCCTCTACAGCAAAAAGTCCTGAATGTTCCATATTGTGTCATACATCATTTGAAAGATAATTTAATTCTGGAGTTATTCATCAAATTTCATTTAATAAAACTTAATATTAAAAAAGTTACATTGTTTCAAAGTTTGCTACTTTGGTACTTTATTTGCTGCTCTCTTATACTGGTTAAAGGTCAAATCTTCAGAAAGTGGAATATGAAAGAATTAGCTCAGATTTCAACTGCACTGAACATATGGGTTCAGTTCTGAAAAACAGGGTATAGGAACTGATGGACGAAGAGCCTCTTGAAAAAAGATACAGCGAGGATGTATTTCTGAAGAATTTGAGGAAAGTGCTTAGAGGATTATGCAATGCTACACATTTATCTGAATTTTCATTGAAATCATATCCGTCTAGATAAGCTGCTGTTTGAGCAGCAACTGGTGGTCATACCAACTACTAAGAATCAGCTGCAAATCTGTAAAATTATATGATATAAAGCTGAAATTTCTCAGGTAACTCCAGAATTAAATTGTCTTTAAAATGAGATACGACACACCATGTAATATTAAGTACTTTTTGCTGTAGAGGGGGGTGCCGTTGTTTTTTGACACCCTGTACTTCTCCCGATATCGATTTGGGTTTAGGTCTCCGGGGTATAATCGGAGGTAACCAAAAGTTTTGAAAACCAAGTGAAACCTCCTGTATGAGGACAATAACAAATATATTTCATCTTGTTGAGGCTTTAGTATAGTAGGAACAAGGGGTTCCCATGCACCCATAAGGTGTGAATAAGTTACATACATTTTTGTAATCCCTAGGGTGTCTATTTAATGAATTCATTTGTTAACATTGCCAACTAATGTCCCATAGTACTTTTATGGCGGCATTCAGTTACCATGGTTACGCATCTTTAGACTCTTACCTTGGTATCTTAAATCATTTGTAGCTCTGTCATTATTTAGTCTATAGAAATGATATTGGTACCAAATTGAACCTCGTTAAATTTCCAACAAATTTTTGATATTCAATTATGCAAATTATCTAATTTGCATAAATTATGACGTCATCAATCTATTTTTGGTTCAGAATTTCCAACTATAGCAACGTATCTATTAGAATTGAGGCCGTATGGCAAAATTTCTGAAAGGTTTTGTCCTTTTTTCTATTAGTAGAAGGTATAAGCAACATAAAAGTGAAAACAGATTCAAAATTGAATCAGTATTACGAAAGTTATGTAACTTTCGAGGCAGCTATCGTGAATGTCATTATTTGACAATAATATACATGACGTCTTACCTTGGAGTCTTGAATCAATGTAGCTTCGCCATTATTTGGTCTATAGAGATGATATTGGTATCTGATTAAACCTTATTAAATTTACTTTATGGTTACAATATTCAGTTATGCAAATTAGCTAATTTGCATTAATTGTGACGTCATCAATCCATTTTGGGTTCAGAATATCCTAGTATAGCAACATATCTATTAGAACTGAGGCCTTATGACAGAATGTGTGCATAGTTTGTCCCTTATTTGATGAGTGGAAGATATAAGCAACATTAAAGAGACAATAAATCTTCAAAATTGGATCAGAATTAACAAAATTATCCAGCTTTGGAGGCAGCTACTGTGAACTTACTCACTTCGAGAGCCATGTTAAATTTTGAAACTTATGGCTCTCAAATGGAGAAGTGAACAGCTGATCAATAGTGACCTTTGAAATCGAATTAAGTCGATCAGCAGCTTACTTTTGATCTCTAACTGTGTCTTACATCAGTATCATCAATCCGTGTTATTGGAGCGCTGGAGTACTTCTTTTTCGATCAAGACTTGTAAATTGTTCATCGAGTGAAAGTTTTTTAGACCTATTTCAAATATGGCAGTTTGCTAGGTGCGAGATACGCAACAAACGAAATGAATTTTGAAAATTAGTTAGGTTCGGACAACCTCCGGAGATTTACGAAAATGTCCGAGCAGAAACCGCCATATTGGAATTTGGCAGTAAAACGATTCACTCGACTAACAATTAAAAGTCTTGATAAAAAAGAAGTACTCCAGCGCTCCAACACTTACACGGATTGATGATACTGATGTAAGACACAGTTAGAGACCAAAAGTAAGCCGCTGATCGACTTAATTCGATTTCAAAGGTCACAATCATTGAGCTGTCCAAATGCTCCGTGGGAAAGCTATTATATCAAAATCCAAATATCTTTCGCAGGAAGTAACTGTGAACGTCATTGTTTGACAATTATAAAAAGAATATTAAATTAACAAAAAAAGTAACAACCATAGTTGTTTCAATCTTATTGAGTAAAAATGTGCATGTATTGAACTGAACTAATAAGTATGTGGAAAGGTTACATGTATTTTGACTATCATTCACAGGGGTCAAAACGGTTATCTTGACCCTGTATATTAAAGATCCAATTTTATAATTTACCATGCACTTTCAATGATTCATATAAATAGTATACATATAGTCTGATTTTCATCATATTCTTCATATTCTTGATTCTTAAAGCATCTGAAGTATATAGCATGATTAGAAGTGAAGATGATTCATCATATGGTTTATGTTATATTTCTAACATTTCAGATGCTATGGTAACATCACTATTGATAATGAGGTTTTTACATTTCACGTTCTTAATGAGTTAAAAGAAAGTTATTCTCCCTTTGCTTTAGAGAAAAATAGTCGCATGAATTTGTTAAAAAAAATTATAACTTAATTTAACCCCCTCCTGACAGCCCCCATATTTGAAGATTTTGGTGAAACCTGGCAAAATACATTAATTATTATGTTCCAGAAGCCCCCAGAAGCTATATGATGGCCCACAGTGGCCCCAAGAATCTATACAGGGGCCCCAAGTGGCCCCCAGAAGGTATACGATGGCCCCCAGAAGCTATACAAGGCCCCCAAAAAACTATACTGTGGTCTCCAGAAGCTATATGGTGGCCCCCAGTGGCCCTCAGAAGCTATATGATGGCCCCCAGAAGCTAATTAGTGGCCCCAAGGAGCTATACGGTGGCACCCAGAAGCTATACAGGGAACCCTAGTGGCCCCAAGAAGCTATACGATGGCCCCCAGAAGCTATACAGCAGCCCCCAGAAGCTACATGACGGCCCCAAGATTCTATATGATGGCCCCCAATGGCTCCCAGAAGCTATACAGGGCCCCCAGTAGCCCCTAGAAGCTATACGGTGGCCCCCAAAGCTATATGGTGGCCCATTGGGGGACACTGTATAGCTTCTGGAGGCCATCGTATAGCTTATGGGGGCTACTGTATAGTTTCTGCGGGCCCTTGCATAGCTTCTGGGGGCCATCGTATAGCTTCTGGGAGCCACTGGGGGCCCCTGTATAGCTTCTGGGGGATACAGTACAGTTTCTGCAGGCCCTTGCATAGCTTCTGGGGGCCATCATATAGCTTCTGGGAGCCACTGTGGGCCCCTGTATAGCTTCTGGGGGCCACTATATAGCTTTCAGGGCCACTGGGGGCCACCGTATAGCTTCTAGGGGCTACTGGGGGCCCTTCACATCTTCTGGGAGCCATTGGGAGCCTAGATATAGATTCTGGGGGCCATCATGTAGCTTTTTGGGGCTCCTGTATAGCTTCTGGGGGCCATCGTTTAGCTTCTTGGGGCCACTGGGGTCCCCTGTATAGCTTCTGGGAGCCACCGTATAGCTCCTGGGGGCCACTAATTAGCTTCTGGAGGCCATCATATAGCTTCCGAGGGCCACTGGGGGCCACCATATAGCTTCTGGAGACCATAGTATAGTTTCTGGGGGCCCTTGTATAGCTTCTGTGGGCCATAGTATAGCTTCTGGGGGCCCCCGTATAGCTTGTGGGGGCCACCGTATAGCTTTTTGGGGCCACTGGGGGCCCCTGTATAGCTTCTGGGCACCACCGTATAGCTCCTGGGGGCAACAGGGTTTCCTGTATAGCTTCTGGGAGCCACCGTATAGCTCCTGGGGGCCACTAATTAGCTTCTGGAGGCCATCATATAGCTTCCGAGGGCCACTGGGGGCCACATTATAGCTTCTGGAGACCATAGTATAGTTTTTGGGGGCCCTTGTATAGCTTCTGGGGGCCATAGTATAGCTTCTGGGGGCCCCTGTATAGCTTGTGGGGGCCACCGTATAGCTTTTTGGGGCCACTGGGGGCCCCTGTATAGCTTCTGAGCGCCACCGTATAGCTCCTGGGGGCAACAGGGTTTCCTGTATAGCTTCTGGGAGCCACCGTATAGCTCCTGGGGGCCACTATTCAGCTTCTGGGGGCCAACATATAGCTTCTGGGGAGCACAGTATAGCTTCTGGGGGCCACTTGGGGCCCCTGTATAGATTCTTGGGGCTACTAAAACCTAATAATTAATGTATTTTGCCAGGTTTCACCAAAATCTTCAAATATGGGGGCTGTCAGGGGGGGTTAAATTAATTAAGTTATAATTTTTCTAAACAAATTCATGCGACTATTTATCTCTAAAGCAAAGGGAGAATAACTTACTTTTAACTCATTAAGAACGTGAAATGTAAAAACCTCATTATCAAGTGATGTTACCATAGCATCTGAAATGTTAGAAATATAACATAAACAATATGATGAATCATCTTCACTTCTAATCCTGCTATATACTTCAGATGCTTTAAGAATCAAGAATATGAAGAATATGATGAAAATCAGACTATATGTATACTATTTATATGAATCATTGAATGTGCATGGTAAATTATAAGATTGGATCTTTAATATACAGGATCGAGATAACCGTTTTGACCCCTGTGAATGATAGTCAAAATGCATGTAACCTTTCCACATACTTATTAGTTCAGTTCAATACATGCACATTTTTACTCAATAAGACTGAAACAACTATGGTTGTTACTTTTTTTGTTAATTTAATATTCTTTTTATAATTGTCAAAACAATGACGTTCACAGTAGCTGCCTCCAAAGCTGGATAATTTTGTTAATTCTGATCCAATTTTGAAGATTTGTTGTCTCTTTAATGTTGCTTATATCTTCCACTCATCAAATAAGGGACAAAACTATGCACACATTCTGTCATACGGCCTCAGTTCTCATAGATATGTTGCTATACTAGGATATTCTGAACCAAAAATGGATTGATGACGTCACAATTAATGCAAATTAGCTAATTTGCATAACTCAATATTGTAACCATATAGTAAATTTAGTAAGGTTTAATCAGATACCAATATCATCTCTATAGACCAAATAATGGCGAAGCTACATTGATTCAAGACTCCAAGGTAAGATGTAATGTATATTATTGTCAAATAATGACATTCACGATAGCTGCCTCGAAAGTTACATAACTTTCGTAATACTGATTCAATTTTGAATCTGTTTTCACTTTTATGTTGCTTATACCTTCTACTAATAGAATAAAGGACAAAACCTTTCAGAAATTTTGCCATACGGCCTAAGTTCTGATAGATTCGTTGCTATAGTTGGAAATTCTAAACCAAAAATAGATTGATGACGTCATAATTTATGCAAATTAGATAATTTGCATAATTGAATATCAGAAATTTATTGGAAATTTAACGAGGTTTAATTTGGTACCAATATCATTTCTATAGACCAAATAATGACAGAGCTACAAATGATTTAAGATACCAAGGTAAGATGTCTAAAGATGCGTAACCATGGTAACTGAATGCCGCCATAAAAGTACTATGGGACATTAGTTGGCAATGTTAACAAATGAATTCATTAAATAGACAGCCTAGGGATTACAAAAATGTATGTAACTTATTCACACCTTATGGGTGCATGGGAACCCCTTGTTCCTACTATACTACTTAATCAACCAATGTTCTGACTGAACGTATTGAGTTAACATGGGAATATGCACCAACTTTTAAAACACACACGAAGTGATCATCGATTAGTTCAAATCTTTTGGATTGCTACTTTGAATTTACAGCCAGCTATAATGTCAGACATTAACGAGATTTTCGTCCATTTTTTGTCGTTGTCGTTGAATATCCGCCATTTTTCTTTGGAGCCGTTGATTTAAAGGATAGGTATCGATATGGTGAACTGAATTTAACAATGTTTTTCTCTTAAACCAATTATTGAAAACATTCTATAAAAACACACTTCCTTTGTGTAATGTTGACTGATTGGCAACAATTGAATGCAAAAATTATTTATATATATTTTACATAACAGTTTTTGTTAAAATTCTTTGTTTTTAGTGCAATTGTTTTTTGTTCCTTTCTAACAATTCTTGAGAATGAAATAAAACGTCTTTCCGAACCTTGTTGGAACAAAATTGCATATACAACATTTTCTTAGACCTCTCAATATTATAGTTATACAAAAGACATTTTGATTGATTTAACAAAAAATATGCAAAAACTTACAACAACCCCCCCCCTCCTAAATAGATAAAAATTAAGATAAACCTTTTATTTCATAAACAAGATACTTTTTAAAATCAACCAAACTTTCCTTTGTACAATTACAATATTGATAGACCTTAACACGTTTTGTTTATATCGTTTTGTTCCAATGAGGTTCAGATAGAACATATGATACCAAGAACAAAAGAAGTGTCTCATGTGTTTTCTAAAACAATATAGAGAAAAGTATAAATATATATTTCAAATTATGTTACCATCCAAAAGATGACCATTAAATTGACGATGTGTAAAATTTTCAGAATGTTTTGATGACTGGTTTAAGAGAAACGAGTGTTCAAAAAGTTCGCCATATCGATACCACTCCTTTAGACAAAAGTATGCAATATCTCACAAAGGATGTAGTGTTAGTTTCAATTCTAATTTAATACATAAATGTATTCTCATTACGGTATTACGATTTTTGAAATAACATTTAAATTTATTTTTCACTAGGACAAACGTTTTAACTCCTGCACGGTGAATCCACCTGCCATGTCTTCTAGCCAAGTAATTTGGCTAGAGACTCTGTAATATGATATCACAATTATCCTATGTTTTCAAAGAAACTATCATCATTGGGATGTATCATTATATCTTCATTATCTCAGAAGAACATTGGCGAATTGAGTCACAACCATTAAAAATAAGTTACTAAGTATATAATTTCTTAACTTCCAATTCCATCAACCCAATTTTTTATGAGCATAAACTAGAATCTTTGGATCATAATATAATATCAAAAATTGATTATTTGTGATATCATGGATGATTTTAAATGTGTCCAATCTCGGAAAATCATCATTGAGACAAAATCATATCTTGAGTTTTTTGAGAATTGGAATGAAATTCCAAAGAAAACTTCACATGAAAGCCTCATTTAATATTTTAATTGAAAAATGAAGAATATATTATCAGATTATGGTAAAACACCTAATATCACACCCGGTGATCGTGAAAATGGGACGGAGGGGGGGAGCAGGCAATTTCCGCTAGAAAATTCAACAAATCTGGTAAAATTATTTTTTCAAGACAGAGTTTACGATTGAATTGCAAATTGAATAAGCGCACGGTATGATAAAATATGTTAGGTATTCTAGGATTATTTTTCAACCGATACTCTTTTAAGATATAAGATCTATTAAAAAAGGCGCAACACAACCAACGTGCAAAAGTCAAAGTTTTTGCTATAAATCAAGCAACAATGGACTACACGACCTGTAATAAATACTTGTAAGTGATGTTATCATAACTAAATTAATGTCATTGCTGAATTTATAAAATAAGTTTCCATACGTAAAATAAAAAATAATCGAAAATAATTAAAATGGGACGGAGGGGGGGAGGGGACGGAGGGGGGGAGCAATAATTCTATAAAGTGAAACAACTTCACACGAATTCTTGTATTTGAAAAATGAACTCATTAACTTAGTAAAAAACTGGATGATATACCCCTGGAGACTGAAAAATGGGGACATTTGGAGTAAAAGGACTTAAAGTCGCGAAACATCTCTAATCATGTCTTATATACATATTGCTCCCCCCCCTCCGTCCCCTCCCCCCCTCCGTCCCAAATTCATTATTTTCGATTATTTTTTATTTCACATATGGAAACTTATTTTATAAATTCAGCAATGACATTAATTTAGTTATGATAACATCACTTACAAGTATTTATTACAGGTCGTCCAGACCATTGTTGCTTGATTTATAGCAAAAACGTTGATTTGTGCCTGTTGATGGCCTTGCGCCTTTTTTAATAGATCTCATACCTTAGATGCGTATCATTTCAGAAAAAATCCCAGAAAACCTAACATATTCTACCATACCGTGTGCCTATCCATTTAGCAATTCAATAGTAAACTTTTTCTTGAAAAAATAAATCTTCCAGATTTGTTGAATTTCCTAGCAGAAATTGCCTGCTCCCCCCCTCCGTCCCATATTCACGATCACCGGGTGTGAATATAATAACAGATAACTGAAATCCCTAGCCTTTGAACAAGAACACCTCAAATGCTACACGAAATTCAATTGGATGAATTCTCAAGAAATCATTAAGACAGCAGATTGATCAGTCAAGAGCATTTCATAACATTTGATTTCAACATCAAATATTTAATATTATAATGAGTTGAAAGAGGAAGAAAGGAGAACTTTTGAACACCTATATGGGAAAAATGATCAGCTCACACCTATCTAGGGAGGTTTCCAAGAATGGGATATGAGAACACCTGAAAACACTGTGTGTGATTGCACTGAACCAAGTTTTAAACGTCAATGGCCAGCCAAGTACAAAATGAATATCACACCCATCGAATGGTATACTCGAAATAAGTAACTCATACCTCTTATTCCCATTATTGGGGAAATCGTCAGACGGCTCATCATTCCCGCCCGCCAATTTTTCTACTCCGGAGCGTTTCTTTGTTTAGTTTCAGTAATGAAACCCATTGTCGTGTATGTAAGAGCGTTTGGGTTGGACACCGTGTACTAGTAACTTATATTACTGTACCGTGCGCCTATTCGTTCAACTATTCAGTATTAAACTTTCTCTTGCAAAAATAAATCATCCAGATTTGTTAAACTTTCTAGCAGAACAAAAATTGCCTGCTCCCCCTGGCCTCCGTCCCATTTTCCCGATCATCGGGCGTGGGAATACTAGGGGCAATTAAACAGAAGGTTCTAGCTCAACCGAGGCCTTTCTGAAAATGTTCAATACCTCTATCTGATTTAAGTTATGCTGCTACAGTGATGACTGGTGGGTTACCTGGTGGTCATCTGGGGGACCTTTATTGACTGATATCAACTCTGGGGCAGGCCATTTTCTCCGCTACCACGATAGAACAAGTGTACAGCATGTAGAAGGTGATGTCATGGGGCGTTATTATTGCTGTGAAGCATCTGACAATTGTGATATATTCATGAGACGTCGGCCGGTTGATACTTGTGAAGGATACATTCCTCCCCGTAGGAGTAAGTATACCGTTTTTGGATTTGTTTTCCAGTTGTGTTTTTTACTGTTCGTTTTCCAAATGTCTGTGATATATAAATAATATGAAAGGTTTCTTACCTTGAAGATGACGGAAACGAAGTTACGTGATTCTCAATACATCATTGTTTACCCAATAAGAAACCCATTCCAGCTCATCCAAGTTACGTTTGTTATATTGCAGCTTGGTTTTGGGGTGATCCACACGTTCGCACTTTAGATGGCAAACAATACACATTTAATGGCTTGGGGGAATACTGGCTTATTAGAACAACAGATTTTAATCTACATGGAAGAACGTCAGCTGCTTTAACTGCCAATGGTACCGCTACCAGAGCGACTGTCTTCACAGCATTTGCTGCCAAGGATGAACTTTCCGATAAATTCTGTGTGGAATTACACAACAACTTGGTTGGTGAGTTTGCATAAACTTACAGTACATGGATTTTTAGTATACTAGTAGTAAATACTATATATTATTCCATGATGATGTCACATGGACCAATCAAATTGCAGGAAACACCATCATGGAACAGAGGGGGAGAAACACCAGGGTTCAAAGATGACATACGCTTATAATGTAAATCTGTATTGAGATGACACGGTCGCTGATTGGTCAAAAGTCGACAAACAAATGACGTCATCAATGGCGGTTTCAAAAGTTTCGAAATACGCTTCGAATAATATTATGTTCATTTCTGGCGTGTTAACCAATATCATAGCTTCTCATTTCACATCAAGATAAAGAAAGGTGTACGGAATATGCCTATATCAATTATAACATCCAATCGAAGTGTAGTATTTGATAACTAGCCGATGAAAATTCGAACGAACGAAGGTGGTAAGCAAGAGAGGTAATTATGTCTGTCATCTTGAAACTCTGGGGCTTTCCCTCCTCTTATCATGGAATAAAGTTAAGTAGCTCGACGCCTAAGATTTCCATCCAGGATATGACTGTTACTGAAAAATTCGATGGCGATTAGTTTAAGCTGACGCGTACTAATATTTGCACTTTGCTATAAATATCTGTTTTTCATCACAATTTATAATTTGAGAATAAAAAACCCACATCTGTAAATATAAGAAAACAATTTGAAGCATACGAAATTGTTTTCATGAACTAGTAAAAATCCAATATGGCAGACGAAAGTCGAAAAAACGTTTCGCTACATTGCACTTAGTATACTAGTAGTAAAAACTATATATTATTTCATGATGGTGTCACATGGACCAATCAGATTGCAGGAAACACCATCATGGAATGATAAGCAAATATTTCATTCTATGGAGGGCAATACCTGTTCATCTTTCAATGATTTTTGTAGCATGTATTGCCCGCAGCCCGAAGGGCGAGGGAAATACATGCTGCAAAAATCATTGAAAGTGCAACAGGTATTGCCCGAACATATAATGAAATATTTGTTTTATTATATCATTGCTAGACATTCACTTTGTATGTGCCTATTGAGTCCATGATGAATACTTTGCAGAGTGGCACTCTTGTAATATTCCCCATCCTTCGTTCGCAGTTTCAAGAAAAAAATCCTCTAAAATTCCATCCAGAACGACACCATTAAATCAATGGAAACGTCCTTGAACCTTTTCAAGTGTTATGTGGACGAAAAAGATATCGAAAAAGACGTTAAATCTATCGATAAAATCGTTCTGGATGGTTTTTAGAGGATTTTTTTTCAAAATTGATCAAAAAATCTATGGGTGAGTAAGGTTGTTCTGTCTGAGTTTCTCCGGCCAGGCCAAGGAATTTGACTTGATTTTGGAGCGTTCCATCTCAGTGATCATGGAATAAAAACGAATCACGCAAGCGCCTCGTGAAATAATGTATTTCACTCGAATTATTGAATAATTTATAGTGTAGTATTTCATTTTGAAATATTTGATATGAGTATAGCTGATTTAATTAAACTTGAAATAGATTCACCGATTTTGAATTTATTTTTGGTAGATATGATTATACGTGTCAACGGGGAAGACAAAACGAGTGAAATTGAGGAGTTATCAAATTCCGAACAACCGGGAACGCTAGAAGAAACTGGTCTCAGCATAGATTTTGATAACACCAAAGGGCTGGTTACTGCTTCTTTTGTGTCAGGTATACACTTTCTCATATATTACTGTTTTGTAGTTGGGCACATTCTTAATGAATCATTTTAATGACCTTTACGATTAAATCGAAATAATTCAGTGCCACGAAAAAATGTCACATCAAGATTTTAGTTATAATATAATTCTCTCTTCATTGTTTTATCGCCTATCTTCGTCACAGGATTTTCTCTAAATGTATCGGTGTCAGTACGCAGTCTGTCCATCACTGTAACAGCCCCACAGTCAGCCTCAACCTCTGGTCTAATGGGCACACTTAATGGTGATCCTTCTGACGAAAAAATGTCACATCAAGATTTTAGTTATAATATAATTCTCTCTTCATTGTTTTATCGCCTATCTTCGTCACAGGATTTTCTCTAAATGTATCGGTGTCAGTACGCAGTCTGTCCATCACTGTAACAGCCCCACAGTCAGCCTCAACCTCTGGTCTAATGGGCACACTTAATGGGGATCCTTCTGATGATTTCACCAAACCAGATGGTGATGTACTTCCCGAGGATAGTGACGATAAAACAATATATAAAGACTTTGGAGGGCTCTGTAAGAGGAAATACTACTAAATATACCAACTCGGGAAATGATGAAGAAATAAATTATGTACATGTCTTGATTCCTGCGTGGAAACATCGCCAAAAAACATTTTTGCCCGCATTTCTGCAGCCATGTTTGAGAGTATCAGTTAATTATGACGATCAACCAATAATGATAATGTTATATAAGCACCTTGAAACACATTATCAATAATCTGCTAATATTTTAGGGAAGTTAACACAGGGTGAATCTATTTTATGTTACAATGATGGAGAAACAATAGATGACTTCTCAGATGCATCATTTGAGCCTCTCTTTCTATCGGACTTCACCCAAGAGGAGCGGGACAATGCCAATGCCGCATGTCAATCTGAGATCGCATGTGTTTTTGACTACTTAGCCACGGGTGATGATGAAGTTGCTCTCTCCACATTGTCTATAAATGTAGAAAATACTGCAGACGCTATCATTGCAGGTAACGTTAACTCTGACCTTACTAACAAGCTCTCATTTAGAAATGCGAAATCAAACTGCTTTTTGTATTTAGAAATTGACATTGATTGATTAAACATATTATTTGTTGGTTATTCGGATTGCAGAAAATGAATCCCCAAGGCTGTACATAGACTCACTGAAACAAAACTTCATTGTTGGAGAACAGGCTGAGGTCACAGTTTCTGCAGAGGATGGCGATAGCGACACTGTAAGTGTGATACTTACATCGGATTTACCAGAGGGTGCAGCTTTTGACAACGAAACAGGAAAGTTCACAATGACACCAGAAAATATGGTACCATTTAACCTGTCGTGAGCATTTCAAACAAATCATTGACATGGGTAAACATTTGCATTATAAAAAATATAAACACAAGTGATGCAAGGGTTAACTTTAAAACAATAGATCTCGGTCTCAAATGATGTGGAAACGACAAAATAAAAGTAGGAAAGCCATTGTGAGTTTCACATCCTCCGATATCCACGAAAGAGTTCGACACAAAAGTAAGATCAAGAAGGATTTGGATAGTGAGGATAAATTAAACCTCATGTCAGAATGTAGCATTGGGATTTGATTCATTTGATTATCTTCATTTTCTGTAGATTCATAGCTATAGATGGCTTGGGTGCACGGTCTCCTGAATCTCGAATTACAATATGGATTTGCTCAGGATGTTCCAGCAATGGAGAGTGTAATTTTGAAGTAGAGGCAGATGAACAGCCGGTATCCACTGGTTATTTTGTCATAGCACTGTGTGCTTGTGGAGTCGGATGGGAAGGTAAGACTGAAAACGAATAGTCCGTGTTTATTGCATTTACAGTATATGTTGAAATGAGTGTATGTTGATATGGGTAATGAATTTAAAAAGAAAAAATATGTATAGATCAGCATCAACATGATGACCAAAATAATGATGCTCTGCTTACAGGTGATAATTGTGAGAATGACACTGATGGATGCGAGGGGGATCCATGTGGGGAGGGTGGTACATGCACAGATTATATACCCGAAGAGCAGGAGAGATCAGGAAATATGTTTATTTGCTCCGAATGTTCTTCTGGACATGATAAAATCGACGGAAGATGTGTTGGTATGTAAACGTTCTAAATACCATTTGCATTCGTTCAACTTCGCTTCTTAAAAGAGAGCTCCGTAGTTTATAACTCGACTCTGCGTGCAGGGTAGTTCTAAAATAATTTACAATTCTTATGAATGAAACATCATCATACGTCAATAGATGGACTAATACTTTTTGTATTCTAAAATGTTCTTCACATTTTTATAGAATGATAACTCATTGAAACTTGGATTGAAAGAACCGAAGTTCAATACAAGGGCAAATTCCTTGACTGTTCACCAAATCTTTTTCAATGTTCTATCTTGAAATAAATGGAACGGATCAACAACACTATGCAATACTGATTATATTAGAACTTCTTTTCACTATGTAGACAGAGATGAATGTACTGATGGCAATCCATGTACAATGGGACATGAATGTATCAACACGAGAGGGAGTTTTTACTGCGTTTGCAATCCTGGTTATGTGCTGACAGGCGATACAGAATGTATAGGTGAAATTATTATTATTATAAATTTATTATTTTACATGTAAACTGACAAATATAATCATCAAAAGGTATACAATATGACAAGTAAAAAATGAATAAAAAACTGAGGAAACTGTTTTTGTCAGAGATACAAGTGCAAGTAAACATTTCAGAAAGGGAAAGCGGGATTACAAAAAGAAAACAACCCGGAAAACAACCAGGTGTAAAAGAGTAGAAGGTCCTATCAAATTATGGTCCTACTCTCCATTGATTTATATGGTGACCTAAATTCAACTCTTTCCCTCATTATCTTATACACAATCAGGTCCAGTAAGGGCCGTTAAGGGGACCATAATCCCTGGGGGACCATCATTTCTTTCACACCGGAATACCTCAAACTGTGCACTAACCTATAAACAGTAGAGAGTTTAACCTACATGATTTTAAGAGAACCTAACGTGTAGAATTATGGTCCTCTGGAGATGCGTTTTCCCCTACGTAGTATTTACTTGCCTGCTTGAGCATAAAGGTATAAGGAAAATAGTTTCAATTGGGTCCTTAGAAAAAAAATTGAGAGGGGGAACAGTAATCCCAGGGGGTAATATTAAACGTTAACGTGCAGTTTTTTCTTGAACACGTGAGCTTAACCTCCCTACTAGATATAGTAGACCCTCCCCGCCATCCAGGATTCAGTATCACATAATTAAAAACCACAAAACTTTCAACTTAAAGGAGAATGTCTTTTTCTCAAAAAATTCGTCAAAATTTATATCGTAAAGAATAAGTTGAGTCCTCAAACTTGGTCAAGGGGGTACTCAAATTGTGCTTTTATTCGATATTCCCCTTTAAAGATGTTAATGCTGAAAATTCTCCTTTTAGATATTGACGAATGTTCTGATGGTACAAGTGGGTGTCAGCAGAAGTGCTCAAATACATTTGGAAGTTTTACATGCTCTTGTGAAGAAGGGTTCACCACAAGTTTGGATGATGCTAAATTGTGTGAAATTGGTTAGAATTATGTAACCTATTATAAAAGGGAATGTTATAAAAACCCTTCGACCTGCACCTTCGACCTTCACCTTCGACCGACAGGGTGTCCAAAAAGAAAATATTATAGAAGCTATTTTTGCCGATCTCAGACCACGAAAGAGTCATATTTTCTTGTCGAAACTATATAATACATAATATTTCCATTCAAGGATTTCCATATACTGCCCTGTCACGCATTTGCTGGAAAAAATAGAAATCACGCATCAATTTAGCGTGTATGATCAAATATCACGCAAATCACGCATTTTGTTGATATTCAACCGAATTTTGCCGATTCAATCTGACGGAGAATGCCGAGCCTCTATGTTTGACCAATTAGAGACATCCTCTTCACATTCGTGGTACCCTCGGCCAACTTCGTTTGCAAAGAAAAGCTTCGGCAATCTCCGGCTTTTCTTGAGGTATCTTCGGTTGATTGCAAAAAGTCGACACCCATTTTTAATTAAGTTTAAAGTTTAAAATATTTTATTTCTGTGTCACAGGTTTAAAAACTACATTCAATATCATATAATAAATACTTTTTTTTTAAAAAAAACCACCAGCCGGCATCGGCTTAGGAGACACCATTAAATGTATATCTAATTGTAATTGAATATTGACTAGAGTAAGTTGACTTAATAGAGCACTCTTAGATAGAGTAGTATTTAAGTGCTGCCATCTTTAAATGCTTTGACAAATATTTTCTATTAATGGCCATTATCACAATAAATGAATATGCATGCATAAATAAACTGTATTGATACAATAAATTTTGTAGTCAAGTGCTGGAAAATGATTATAACAGATTGGGGACACACACCTGCTGCCCAGTTATATCTTTAATTCTAAAAAGTATCAGTTTTAACCAAGTCTGGACTTCACAAATGTAACTCCTATAATCTGCCATAGTCAAATTGCCTTTTTGAATACATATTATGAATAAGAGCTGCTAGAGGTTTTTGAATCTTCTTGGCAAGCATTAAGCTAATAAATGTCAAAAGTGAATTTGCATTATTCAAGTCTATATATGGCAATTGCTCTTGCACAATCTCTCAATAGAAGGTATCCCTTAGGAGCTTATAGTGTGGACATTTTTTAGAAAATGAATTTCATTTTCAACTTCATCCAAATGATTTAATAATCGTTTTTTGTGAAATGCCGACACGGTAAAAAACCGAACGGCGAAGAAAAGCGAACGCATTCCGTTCGGTCTTTGCACGCGATTGCCGTTTATGTCACGCATTTGGTACAAAATATGTGTATATATCACGCGAGCTGGAAAAATTTTAGGTGTCCAAAATCTGCCAGGTGTTCACTGAAGCTGTCCAAAGTTTGAAGGAAGGTGTTCAACATTTGGAAGTCACTCATGTTAGATGGTCCCAAGTTGACAGCCCTGCATATAACTCATATAATTGTAAACACGCATATAAGTAGGCCTATTAGGAAATACGTTAGAAACGTGACTCAAGTCCATGTCTCAGACGTGACTAGCAGGCCCGCAGCCAGGATTTACCACATATTGGCTATACTGTATGGGGACGTACCGCTAAAGTGGGTCACTTTTTCACCGGAAAATCCCTAGATGTGGGTCCCATTTTGAAGAAAAAACACTAGATATGAGTCCCATTTTGATGAAAAATCCCTAGAACTGGGTCTACTCTGAAAAATCCTAAAAATGTATGGGTACTTTTATTGAAAAAATCGCCGGAAGTGGGTCTTGTTTTTTAAAAATTAATTGGGTAGGTATTTTGAGTCTCACCGGCACCCCCCTGTAAAAAAATTTGACCAGTACCCCCCCCCCCCGGCCAAGGGGGAGCTTTTTGAGAGTGTTGGCTACCAAAAATGACCATGATGATAGAGGAAGAAAAGAGCCTTTTAATTACAATGCTTTTTATTTGAAGCCTATAGCTCAATTTTGAAGGAAGTTACATACATTTTTGTAAATTCAAAACAAATCTTACACGTTTTTTAATGATCTAATTATGTTGTTTTTTTCGTTTTTTGGGTACCCGGTTTTTTCGTCTGGATACCGGGTACCGGGTACCAAGTTTGAACCAAGCATGGAGGATTTACTACCCGGTACCCGGTTTTTTCTACAAACCCCAAATTATATCTGTATTTCAGTTATGGACGGCACATGCATGCGTTTAATAATTTAAACAAATCAAATTACTGGATTTAATACGCATGCGCTAAAAACAGAACCAAAAATAGACTGGCGCAGATCCCCCCCCCCCTTGTGCAATTCTTTATACTCTTCAACGGAGGAGGCCAAGAAACGATCGATGGAAATCATTTGCTTGAAGTGTTTGCTTGAACTGTTTTCATTTCTCCTGGGACACATCGTTTACTAACTGCATGCATAACTGAGTATAAAACGTCAATAAGTCAAAGGTGCAGGTCGAATGGTTTTTATAACTTTCTTTTTGGCCCGCTTTTTGAACACCCTGTAAGTCGAAGGTGAAGGTCGAAGGTGCAGGTCGAAGGTCGAAGGGTTTTTATAACATTCCTTATAAAGGGAAGAAGCAAATAAATTAAAATGATTTGCACCTGGCGATGGTGATCACAAAATATTCAAGAATATAATTTCATTCTTTTATTCTTTTAGTACAAGGCAGCTTACAACCATGTACTGACATTGGTTTGAATTGCGAGTATGGCTGTAGGTCTTCCATTAGTACCCCTGAATGTTTCTGCCAGCGTGGCTTCACATTCGAAAACCAAGAACGCTGTATAGGTATGTTCATCAGCCTTTTCATGTCCGGGCTGATACAATTTGTGTGAGATGAAAATTACTATAAAATACAGATAGGAAAAAACGAAATGAACTAGCACCTAAAAGATAAATGTTGTACAGACATGGTTTTCTGTAAAGTATTTTCAAAGAGGAAAAAATATCGTAAGTTAGTAACCGTTTCTGTGATATTCAAAGCACTCCTGTAATGATACATGTAAATTTTGTAAAACGTTTGAATTGAAAGGAAAATTACTTATGGCACATGTGCCAGTTTCTCGTGTTTTCTGAACAAATGTTATTCGGCTACATTCATATGATATCAACATATCTTGACACTATCATATTACCTATTAAACGATCCTTGTATGACATTTATTGTTTGTGTCCACCACTATTGTCTTTAATATTTGAAACAATAGAAAATGCATAATAAATTGTGTACATACTACATACATTCATGTAGATATTGACGAATGTGAGAATGATACACATGGTTGTGAAACAAAGTGCACAAATACAGATGGCAGTTTTGAATGTTCTTGTGAACCAGGCTTTGAATTGGGAAACGACAAGAAATCTTGCAAAGGTTTGATGTAATTACAAATATATAAAATATGAATGACATAATACATATTACATTTGGGGTACATATTACATTTGGGGTATCTGACATGACCAATAATGCTGAAAAAGCTCCGGTGTATACCATTAAAATTGTAAAAAGAAAATAACATATGAGAGCAATGAAACAATTCATAAGTATGTTATAATGTGGAAGCGATAATAATAAATGAACTCAATGCATGCAGTGTTCCTCATTTCAAACATCTTTGCTGAAACTCGGGTATTCTGTTTTGGACATAGGAAATCCATAATTGCAACCCTTAAGTAACGCATCGCAATTAATAACCGTACCCCCCTTTGTCTTTATCCTTCCAAAGTGAGAGGGGCTCTGGCATACCAGAATGTAGAAATCGAGAAATCTAAAACACGAAGACTACTCACATTTCAGCCTGTGATCCATTGTATTGGGGCGACAACTGTGCCAATCTATGCGAATGTGGAAGTCGTGCACGACGGTGTGACGCCGCCATTGGTTGCACTGATTGTATTGATGGATGGGGAGGTCCTAACTGTGACGACGATATCAATGAATGCGATGACCCACAGGCTTGTGGAAGAAACGCCTATTGTGAGAATACAAATGGTTCATTTTCTTGTATTTGTAATACGGGATATGAGCAGAACGATGCTAGTGCATCAGATTGTGTTGGTAGGTTAAATTGGTTTTGTAGTCATTTTAGTTTTACATTGGATTGATCATCTTTCAAAAAGGTTGAAAATGCAGTTAAATGGTGCATACAATATTCATTTATCTTTGATTTAACATTATTTTAAAAATCCTTTATGTGCGTTGAGCGCAACAGAACATCATTTCCACGTTTCAAATAATGTGTATGTTAATATTTAGATATCGATGAATGCACCACTGAGCGACCATGCGATATCAATGCCAACTGCTCTAATACCGAAGGATCTTACACCTGCACGTGTAAATCTAGTTACCATGGTAATGGTAAACTTTGCGCCGACATTAACGAATGCAGTGATGGCAGCTCCAATTGTAAAACTAATACAAAGTGTACAAATACTCTAGGGTCATACATTTGTCCTTGTTTGGAAGGATATAGTAAGGTATACTTCGCCAATTTAATTCTAACACGTATTTAATAATGTATTCATTTATTTACGTTTATGGAACGTGTGGTATGTTGCAACCATGGGTATTCAATCTATTGAAAGCCCATGGTTGTACTTAATAATATATCATTTTGCAGATAAACTCTGAATGTGTCAAATCAGCTGACAATTTTACATCAAACAACAGAGGTAAAGTTTATTCTATTTTACAGTCCCCACCTAGGACATTGGCCTTTTTACATTGCCTTTAGATATGTAGAATTAGATCCTGTAAAGCGTTTGAAATTCTGCTACAATTGAAATATAATTTCTGTATTAATTCCTTCTTTTTCCATTTTAGCAACATTCGGAACGTTCGATTGCAGACGTGAGAATACTGGATGTCAGAATGGAGGAACGTGTAACTGGGTAGCAGATGGTGGTTCTTGTATATGTCCCATTGGGATCTCGGGATATGCCTGTAACATTGATGAAGGTATGTCGAATACATGATCAATCTAATGCAGTTGGATAATGTTTGTGTAAAAATGTACAAATAGTTCAGAAGACAAGAGAATACCATTTCAAATGTAAAATCTGATGAGATAACATGCATAGCAGTTGCCCACATGTCAACTCATCTTAATTCTGCTATACATATTGTGACACCATAGTAATAAAACTATGAATGCTTTCAAGACATTATAGATATTATTGTTCACAAACACATTTCCTTAAACATGTGATATTGACGCACGTTTGTGATTAAAATGTCGTGGTGATTTTTTGTTTTCGTTTTTGCAATCTAAATTATACAATGTCACCAACCAGATCAGAGGTTTATCTATTTTGGTGGTATTTTATAACCAATATGACAAGAGGACAACTGAAGTCCGGGGATGCAGTAATAAAATGCACTAAAATAAAGTCTCTACGTCCAATAGGGGATTTTTAAACATTTTATAAGGAGGACGGACCTTGAAGTACTTGACACATTGAGCAAGAAATAAAAGGCCATGATATACCCAACTTATACCATTGTCTCCAAAGCAGAAGCCCCTATTCTTGTCCAAGTCACCTTATCTCTCTAACAAGTAATAATTAGTCCAGCTTCATCTCTTGCACTCTCTTTCTTCCATGGACAAACTGAGTGTATAATATACACAAATCGCATTAACGTGGTTGCGTTATCATATTCATATATGCCATGGTCGAGTCCTTGCATTGAATCTTAGAATCTTCGTCCAGTCTGTGATTCTAGAAATATATTTTCCAGACAAGGTGGCCAGCCCTGAAGATTGCAGTTCTAGATGTGTAGAGGCAAATACACTACAATGTGTCGCGACTGATCAAGGAACTGCTGAATGCATTTGCAAATATCCTTTCACAGGAGATGATTGCTCAAAACGACGAGGTAAATAGTAAAAGCTAGTGTCGAGCCCACTAGTTCATTCAAAACTTTATATCAAGATAAAAAAGTTTTTGGGTCAACCAATAATATAGTGTAACATACACTGCAATTATTTTGTAAACCGAAATGTACGACTGTTCATATTCATTTCAACACATGTTTTATATTTACAGTGGATGTTACCTGTTCTCCGACAGCCATGACGGTTACAATAATTCCATATACTGGGACATCACCTTTAATCATGTTTACTGGTCGGATATTCATTCCAAACCATCTCAACGCCCCTTGTGAATTCACTGAACAAACAGGGGCATTTGTCAGCAGCGAAATTGGTCATTCGGACTGTGGATTAGTCGCCAAAACTGATACACCCTCGGTATGAAGTTGCTTTGCGGAGTGAAGTTTGCTTGAAAACAAATATGTCTTAATATTTCCTAGTAACAGATCGATTTGAGATTTCATACGATTAGTTTTGTCGTATATTTGAATTTGTTTTATCGAAAAACTTTAAAGTGTTGGAACAATGATCATAATATTACTTAGTTCAAACTACTATTATTTTACAAGAAACTTATTTCGGTCGGATTAAATCTATTGAGCACCTATATAGATATTACTAATGCCCTGGTCACATTTGCTCCGATCCATCGGCCGGCGCCCGCCCGCCCGATTGAGTGTTTTGTTCAATATTGCATTCAATTTTGAACAAAATACTCAATCGGCCAGGCGCCGTAGTGAAAATCGGTGCAAATGTGACCAGGGCATTAGTTTACTAAATAATGGCCCATAGACAGATTATGCAAAGGGGGGCTTTTGACAGTTTTGGCTAAAAAATCATGTGAAATGTGCTCAGAAGGGTAAAAAACTGTATGATTTTGAAAGAATTTCTGGCCAGGAGGAGCTTCCGCTCTCCCAGCTCCCCCTCCCCCACGGCTACAGGCTTATCTGTATGTATTATATATTGATGCATGCATGTCTGGTTGATAGATTATAGACTTAAACTTTATCCTATCAATTTCTAGATTGGCATGGTTACTTATGAAGTGAGAATTGTGATTCAGTATGACCCATATGTCATCACACTCCTTGATGAGATAGTTACTGCCCGGTGCTCAGCAATGGCACATGGTGAACTAAGTGTATCCTGGGGTGCAGTAGATTCTATAGAAGAGTAAGTCAGAAAAAGAACATGATTTAAGACCCTATATACTACTTTAAATCAAATGAAGTAACCAGTTACGGTTTTTTTTCTTAATAATACAATAGGCTAAATGAAAAGGGGTTATAGGTTGCTCATATTCAAAGATATCTCTCTGTGAAGACAAATCCGTGGTTAAGGTAGGACTGACAATATGAAAGTCTTAATTCTTTCAACTTTTAAGAGATAAGCTCAAAGACGGAGGGACTGTAATTGGAGAAATCTCCCCGATTGTAATAAAAGTCACAGATACTGAGGGGAAGGATATAGGAGACAACGTGCACATTGGGGATCCATTGCAATTGAAGTTCATCCAAATTGAAGGTACTCTGTCTTTACTAAGTTCGAATATTTTTGTACAAATTCAATGTGTACGATTTCAAATCCAAATGATATTGACGTTCTTGATGCAATTATAGGTGGCGCCCCATACACAGTAGAGTCGTGTGTTGCAAGTGACACAAAGGAAGATCCCGACAGCGAACTTGTCATTATTCAGGATAGGTAACAAGTTCGAATAATTTCTGTTTCCATAACACTTGATTCCATTAACACTTGATTTAAGTCAACTGTAGAACTAGAATATGCCATTGTCCACAGGTGGTTAATAACAGATCCATCACCTTTACCTGATAGCATTCTCTCTTACTACCGATCATGTTGTCTCAATTTGATTTGTTTGCATATACTACTATTTTGTACTTCCTTGATTTTTATTCTTTAAAACAATTTATTTTATTTAAGATGCATAAGCCGGAGATCATATACAATTTTTGACATGGAAAACCCAGTTGAAATCTTGGATGAAACGAAAGTATTACATCTAAAAGCATTTAAATTTCCGAGTGGTTCCACTGTGTTTCTAACGTGCACCGTGCGACTATGCAATGAAAAGGATACATCGGCTTGCGACCTAAAGATGACACGACCATATTCCAAGATATTTTAATTGAACAATGTAGTTGTTTCCGTATTAATTTATGAACAGTTTTATTTTTTTTAATTGTACTAGTTCGCATCAAAGATTTAGAAGAGGGCAGGCTACATGCCTAGACGTCCTTCCGTTTTAACACGTATATTTTCCAATGTTTTAGACTGATTGCGATGGAGAGATAACACAAGGATTGAGAAAACGTTCTGTTTCTGACGATGAGATACTTTATATTAAGAAGTGGATTGTGAATGTGGATGGATCCAGTTCTAATGGTAAGGGGTCTCATATCGTTGTTATTGAAAATTGTTCTATGGATTATAAGTTAATGTTTTTATTTGATTGCTAAATAGTAGTTTGGGAATTCCCTTTCCTGTCAATCATCCAAATATACAGCAATCAGCTACTCTGGGAATTCCATAAACATGCCTGGGACCCTGTTGCCCACAACATGACATCTCATGGCCATGGAATCTAAGTTCGAGGTTTCACGGAGTCAATGGCACTGTTGGTATCACATGTGACCATGGACTTCAAGGTGGTCATGGGCCGTCATGGGACTGATGTGACACTTGGTTCTTTTACAAATTGGTATACGTTGGCAGCCTAACCAACGCTATTGATTGAAACCATCGTACATTATGTCTGGTTTAAAGTGAATCATACGTTTAATTTTGTCTGCTGGTGTAGTTTTGTTAGTTTGAACGAGTTTAAGTTTAATATAGTTTATTTCTGTGTCACAAACAATTCATATAAAATTCATGTAAAACATTTTTTAAAAGATTGCTTCCAGTCGATGCCGCTAATTATATAGACATCAATAATTAGTACACAATTTCCAAAGTTAAATGCATCTAGTAAAACAATGAAAACTAATATAGACTTTGTTTTATCTTTTCAGCGTCGTCCCATGGTTCATTCAACGCAATATCTACACTTATGGTTGTGGTTGCGATTCTGACATTATTATGGCAATGATTTCAACATTAATGATATCTCGGAATGAGAGAACAATGTGACATTTATGAATTATGACTCTTCCCAAAGTGTTCTAAAACTTATTTTAACAAATTCACTCCATCGATTTCTCCGTTGTATTTTTGATCATACTGTCATTGTTCTTTTGTTTTTTTAATTGATTCGAAAGATGGATGCTGGAATTATTTCGATGAATCCACTTATATTAATATGTATACGACCCTGGTGAATTCCTCGGTATGCCCTACATTGATTTAAGAAAACGAACAGGGTACCAACTTGAGGATGTCGGAGCCGGGGACCCTAAGGTGGACCCATTTTTCGGGCCCTTTATTGTTCAAACCTAATATTAATATAATTTTTGTGGAAGCTCCGGACATACCGTGAGTATCCATCATCGCATCTATCATGTGTTTTTGATAAGATAAGTATACTTCGAACAAGTCACAACACTTCAGCAAGAGTCAGAATACGTTGGTATCCCAGAACACATTTGTATACATATTTATCCAGGAGATGTACGTTGACAAGTGCAGATTGTATCCACTATACTTATATGATATCACAGCGTTGGAAGTTCCTTACATATACGAATATATATGTAACATTTTCAAATAAAATGTCTAAGTAACAAGTATATATATGACAGCAAATTGACTCTGAAATCGAGCCAATTTTATGTTTGTAATAAAGGACTAGAAATATTTGTAACTAACATTTTGTTATTTGCCTGTAGTTTTATCATAATATATCTTTGGCTCACACAGTGAGCCTATGGGATCGACCAGGCGTCCGTCCGTTGGTCCGTCCGTCCGGGCAATAACTCAAATACCGTTTGCCCGATTTTGGTCATATTTTGTACACATATACCCTATGGGGGTAGAAGTTCTGCTCGAAAGCCGATTTTCAAAAAGGCCACTCATTTAAAAATGGCGGCCATTTTAGTGCCGATTTTACAGTAATTTAGGTACAATATGTAAAACTGAAATAGCAATATGTTTCAAATGTAAAAAATTATAAAGGACATTAATAAAGCTAGAAATGTAGATATGAAAAAGGGGGGGGGGGGAGCCCCAGAGCTTTAGCGATGACTGACATAATACGCGTACCACCTTCGTTTGTGCAAATTCTCACCAGTTAATTTTCGTACATAGCGCGTCGTCGTGATGTTTTAATCGATTTAAACATATTCTTTACATACTTCTTTATCTTGATGTGAAAAACCAAGCTATGATATTGGTTAAAACGCCAGGAATCAACATAATATTATTCGAAGCGTTATTAGAAAATGTTGAATCCGCCATTTGTGTCTATCGCTTTGGACCAATCAGAGGCGTATGTCATCTCAATACAGGTTTACATTTTAAGCGTATGTCATCTTTGAACATTGGTGTTAATCCCCCTCTTGATATGTAAGAAGCACATAGAAGCCATCTTGAAAAATGGCGGCCTTTACTTGTTAATTTACGATTTTTGCTGAAACTCGAAAAGCAGTGGAGCGATTTTGTTCATATTTGGTATGTGAATACTATAAGCATGGCACACTGTCTAATGACACTTTTGGTAGAAGGTGGCCATTTTTCAAAATGGCCGCCATTTTAACGTATTCTACTATAACTCGAAAAGTAGTGGAGCAATTTTGTTCATATTTGGTATGTGAATACTATAAGCATGGCACACTGTCTAAAGACACTTTTGGTAGAAGGCGGTCATTTTGGAAAATGGCTGCCATTTTGACGTATTTTTAATGTATTTTATTATAACTCGAAAAGCAGTGGAGCGATTTTGTTCATATTTAGTATGTGAATACTATAAGCATGGCACACTGTCTAATGACAATTTTGGTAGAAGGTGGCCATTTTGAAAAATGGCCGCCATTTTAACATATTTTACTATAACTCGAAAAGTAGTGGAGCGATTTTATTCATATTTGGTTTGTGAATACTATAAGCATGGCACAAAGATACTTTTGGTAGAAGGCGAACATTTTTCAAAATGGCCGCCACTTTTATGTATTTAACTATAACTCGAAAAGTAGTAGAGCGATTTTGTTCATATCAGATATGTGAATACTATTAGTGGGCTGTATAGCAAGGTTGGTCGGGGTCGGGAGCTGGGGATAATTTTATTCCTTAAATATAACCATATCATCATCCTACATTAGAATCCACTCAGTCTAACATCAATTTCTGGTGCGAAAGTTGTCATTTTTGAGTTTTACCCCCCTTGAAGACAAATTCTTGGGGGTACCATGACAAATGCTTATAACTAAAGAAGTATTTATTTGATCATTTTCATTTTTAGCATGGGTTATTAACAGTTATGTAAAAGTAGAATTTGAAAAATTCATACAAATCGGGTGATTAATCCATTCTAAAGATAATAATTCAGGTATTTTCAAGGGTCAATTTCAACATTTTCTGAATATCGACTTGAAGTAAAAATAACATTATGACCCAATGACATATTTATTGAATGTTTTTAGGCTTTAGAAAATAATTTGACTATATAAGCTAAAATAATAACATAAGAATTGTAGCATATTGATAAATCTTCATCGCCATCCAGGCACAAATAAACCCCACCCCCTCCCCATTTTCGAATATAAAGGTCTATACCTGAAACTTCCTCAAATAGCTATATTTCAGAAACTATTACAGCCTACATTCCAAAATTTCTCATGGTGATTATACACATCATACTCTGCATAATAGACATATAATTCAGAATTATCCATTCTAAAGCTAATGATTAAGGTATTTTCAAGGTTCAATTTCAGCATTTTCGGAATGTCGCCATGAAGTAAAAATTACATGACCCAATGACATATTTATTAAATGTTTTTAGGCTTTAGAAGATAATTTGACTATATAAGCTAAGATAATAACATAAGAATTGTACGATATTGATAATTCTTCATCGCCATCCAGGGATAAATACCCCCCCCCATTTGCGAAAATAAAGATTTTTACCTGAAACTTTCTCAAATAGCTATATTTCAGAAACTATTACAGCCTCCATTCCAAAATTTCTCTTGTTCATTATACACATCATACTCTGCATATTATACAAATAATTGAAGTCTTAACACTTTTCTGAGGGTGTAGCTAATAATAATAGTATATTTATTAGACATCTTAGAAATCAAAATATATGTTTTAGAAGGTTGTTACAACACTACAAGAGAGATATTTTGGATTGTCATCATTTTTGAGAATATTACAAAAACATATTTATATTATGCAACAATCACCTATTTTCATTTAACATAATTGAAATATATTATCCAGCTAGTTTTAATGATTTCAGTATATGCATTTAATCCTGAGATGCGCTTAGGTTTGATATCCATGAAGTAATCGTTTCTTTTTTGTTTGAAATTTAGTCTCCAAGCATAAAACTATAAGCATTAAATCTGTATGCTTTAGGATATACATAATCAATACCGATGACTAAACATTCAATTGACAACATTCAGTCAATATTCTTGACAATATCCAATAATGATTAATATGTTCGACCAATATGTTTTTGAATAACTTCACCAATACAATTTGCTTGAGTATTTACTTCAACATTTGCTTCAAGCAGTTGAACATTGTTAGTTATGAACATCACCTGAAAAGATTTCATATATAAAATTGTTGACTTCATTATCTGTCATATCATCATCAATTTCGTCATCTGATTCTTCGTTATAAATGTCTACCGACTCTAGTGGAAGAATGGCATTTGGATTTTCAGCCCATTGTATATTAAGTTTGCCATTTTCTAGGATCCATCCATTTTTTGCTGGAGAAGGTATATCCATTTAGGCTTTGTGAGACTGCTTCCATATGTAACCTTGGTAGTTACATATTTTACAGTGTTGAACAAGGAATGACCTGCATGGAGGAAGGAGACTGATGCCTATCCCATCATAGTTAGATAGAGGCTTGAGGTTGAAATCTATTAGCAAAATTTATGTATCATACATGATTGATGTCTGTTTTTTTCTTTTCCCTGTACATGATGCACACAAATCTTTCAAGTTTTTGAAGATGCCTTTGGTCAAGAACTATAAATTTTCCAAGTTCTTGAAAGATTGCATGCATGTCCTCCCTCTTGATCAGCTGTTTCAGAGGGTTTATTTTTCCCTTTCTCATGAAGGCATTTGTAGTATCACACCCTGTAAAACTGGATCCTGATCAGGGTGGCTGTGATTGGATCACCCAACACTGCTGCAACTGTTTTCAGATCAATTAGGGGCCTCTTGTTTGAAACTCCAGTGTCATACAGTACTTTGAGAAGTAGGTGTTTGAGGTAAATCAGCAGGAGT